GCTTGGCCTCCTGCTTGACCCCTGCCTTGATCTCGTTCATGACCTGGTTGACGTCGGCCTCCTTCTGCTGGTAGCCAGGAATGACCCCATGGCCATCCTGGTCTTCATCTCCTGACAAATTATGGCGGCGTGTCAGTGCTTCAGCAACCCCACCAACCGAAGTTTCAGCTTTAGCGGTTTGTCCTCCAGCAGCTGCCATAGCCACACTGCCCCTGGCCGTTCCAGCCTTCGGAAATGCCAGGCACCTCTTCTTCGGCGGTGGCTTCTGAGTTAAAGCTAACACTTGACACGGCAAGGCAGCTTGTGACGAACCTCAAACACATGTAATGTTGGCCTAGGCACAGGTATCTCGCACCCGGGGAACCAGGCTTTCATAATGCAAACCGCCAGCATCCTTCGCTCAAAGATCGTCTCTGTCCTCGCAGCGGCCTCCAAGGGCTCGAAGAAGTCCCCGTAGTTGGCGATCTGAGACGAGTTGATCTTGGACAGGATTGCGAGGATCAATCCTCGGTTCCCGCCTGCTTTGATGAGCCACACGCGGAGCCGAGCCGCAATCCGCGGCCTCAACAAATAGCGGCTGAGCTCCGCGATGCTCATGGCATTCAGCTTGAGCAGCACACCCCGAAGCTGGCTTCCATGAACTAGACTGTGGAGGTCGCGGAGGAAGCCCTTGGATCGTCGATTCTTTCAAAGGGCACATCCTACGAAGGAACCATTGGTCCCCAACCCTCGGGCGCCACAGGCCGCCTTAAACTTCAGCAAAGCCTAGCCTAAGAAGGGACCCTCGGTCCCCAAGCTCGGGTCCAATGGACCCCTGAACCCTGAAGACTCGTGACATCAAAAAGCAATTAATAAATGCAACATGAATCGTCGACGTCCCTGAGGTGCACCACCAGCTCCATTCTGCTCTTTGCCGCTCTGCCTGTTTTGCCTGGACATCGACAGACATGCAGTTGTGTGGGGAAACATGAAGGACACAGCGACATCTAACTGAACCAAGGAGCTAGGAGCAGGCCCTCGATCCTGTCCATCTCCATCTGCTCCTTCTGCTTGCGAGCGCTGAACTTCGCGTCGGACTTATCCAACGACGGCCTATTTCGGCCTACCACGGCGGCAAGGGATCACTAACCTGTCTCACGACGGTCTTAACCCAGCTCACGTTTCCTGGGACTATAGTGTTCTAGCTAGAGAGTTCTAGCTATAGCGGCTACAGCGCTCTAGCTACGGAGCGCAAGTGCACATGCGAAAGTGCAAATGCGAGAGGGTGTGACCCTAGGACCCGGCAGCTGTTGCTCGTCTTCTAAAATTCTAAAGCTACCATCTCGATGCATATGAAGTAGAGGGCTGGACCCTGAACCGTAGAACCTAATCCCATGCTCCCATGTCCCCATCATCGGTTTGGGCGCCCTGAACCTGTCCTGGTAACCGGAAGCCCATGGGTCTGTGGAATGCATGAAAGGTCGGAGCCAACACAAAGGGCATGCAGACACCAATGCTGACATGCTCCATCAAGCAAACTTCCACCAAGAGCACTGGGCGTCAGAACGCTCGGCTGCCGACGACCCGAAACGATCACGAGGCCAGCGAAGTTGCAGGTCGCTAAGCTCAAGCACAACCCTCCCAATTGGGACCATCGGTCCCACCCTGACAAGCCCTCGAACACCACCACCACCCTTGGCCGTGTCTGGTAGCTCTGCCGTCTGGCGGCGGTTCCCAATACCCCCGTTTTCACGAAAAGCTCCGGACCCGAATTATGTCTCTTTCTTGACAGCCGTGGGCACACTTAGCGCAGATGCTTTCATTAGCCGCACATGGAGTATGTCTTTGAAAAGTAGTCTGCATGCTGGAACTTCGTTGGAGACTCATTTTCAAAAAGTCAAGCGATCTGACTCCCCAGAGGATCCCATACGCGAATCCAGCGACCGATCCAGCAGGAGACTTGAACCCAAGACGATAAGACAAATCCGAAGGAGTGAATACCCAAGAGGGCTTAGTCCCGGACAAGCCCAGGCGTGCCCGCACAAGCCCGGACACCCCCGACAACCCGGACCCCGGACAAGCCCGGACAAGCCCAAACCCCCGACTCAGGAATTAGGAAGAGTGCGAGGCACTGGCCTTCGGGCTTAGTCCCGGACAAGCCCGGACAGCCCCGACAAGCCCGAACAAGCCCAAACCGGCCGGCCGGACAGCCGGACAAGCCCGCACAAACAACCGCACTGGAACTTTTGCCCGAAGACGAAAACCCTGAGGAGTTAACCCCAAGGAGTGAACACCCAAGGTCCCGGCCACCTCTTCGCGAAGACGACAAGCTTAAGGAGTGAATCGAGCAGAAAACTTGTCCGGACAGCCTGTCTCGGGGGGCCCGCGGGAGGGGGGGGCAAGGCCTGGCAGCGACACACAGTATCGAGTCAATACCTATCCGGCTCCCTACTGTAGGCTGAAGCTGGGTCCGGTCCGATCCGTTCGTTTTGCCTTCGTCACTATCAACTTCCAGCAGCATGAGCCCACTTAGCCAGAGGGGGACTGGACGGGATCCACAGATAAAGATCTGCTGATATGCTTGGTAATTTGAAGTGCGATGAGTCGAGTCATAGCCAGCTTATGTAGAACATGGAACATGGGAGGAAGCATAGTGGCGGGGAGGTAACCTCGGCCGAGTCCCTGGAGACCGCGACAAGAGCATCAGTTGTGCGAGACACACATCCGGTAGTGACGTCAGTAAGCCTGCACGAGATTGAGCAGCAAGATCCATGTGGGAAATGTGCATATATGTACACATATAACTTGTATATGGTCTATATATATATATATATGTATATGGATGGTCACGCGCTCCGCGCCTCCCCCCCTCCCCCCCCAAAGGTCAATGGTCCGGATGTGGGGTGGGGGCCGGGGGCCAGGTCATCTACTCGGAGTTGTTTCCCATCCCAAAGCTTTGCCGTTAGAAGCCGACGGAGGCAAACCCCAGGCAGAACAGGTTGCAGAATATGTGCGGCAGGTAGATAAGTAAGAATCAGATCCCAGTACAGCCGCTGAGCTCTTGCTCTTGGTTGGTGGGTGGGTGGGTCTGCCCCTAATATCTTACTAGATAGAAGCAACACATGTTTTCTTTGCTTCCGCCCAGCTTGATGAAACCGTGAGATCGTGATGGTGTGATCGCGACGGCCACGAAAAAGTCCTAAAGTACGACAATCAATGTGCTTACCAACCTGGGAGTACGATAACTTCAACATGGCATCGCGGAAAGGCGCGCTGCTTGTCTATGTTTCCATGTTGCCGGCATGGCGCTTCAACCGTGTTGCACATTGCTCCTCCAAAGCGTGGGTCGGGCAATGAGCTGAAGGCAGCCGAGGTCGTCGCTCTCCGACGTCCAACGGGCACAGTCAAGCCCTTGTAGACAGCGCTGAACCTGACTTGGAAATCTAGGCGCTAAACCTTAACCTGTCAAGCCACATGGAGCTCGCACGAGCAAGCGCTGCTTTTGCCTGCAGCCAATTGAACCATTTGGGTTTTGGGTCCTATCTGACAGAGGCAAACTCCCGACGAGTGCTGTGCAGGATTGCAGCACCGGTCAGCTTTACATCTGCTCGAATAGGAGCGTTATCAGTTGTCAGTGGGCTTTACAGACAAATGAGCCACGAATTGCTCATGCCGAGCAGATCAGATCGCTGGCATGGCTCACAATTTTGTCAGCTATGGAGCTTCAAGCGATCATCGACCAAGGCTGCCGCCTATCAGGCTTGTACATCATGTTTCTACGCAGCTGTGAAAGTGAAGCCACGTTCTCCACAACAGGGGCACCCTTAACTTCATATCAACCAGCTACATCGGTCCTACTTCTGTGCACCGGCTTGGGCTCCAGTCGACAGAAATTTGCTACGGTCATTGTTAGAACCCAGCGGCTGCCAGAGCACCAGGGAAAATCCAGAACCAGCTCGGCACAAAGCCCATGGACGTTCTGTGCGGACTTTCAATACAGACACACGGATTGGAATCTGCTGAACATCCTCAAACTTGTACCAGCTGCAAGCGGCAGAGCGCTCTGCACCGCTGTTACCCTATGCCTCGCGGCATTCTCGGGGTCGCAAAAGGACCCCCTGCCCAAACGCCAGGCGAGAACGAGAAGCTGACGATCCTGACGGTGTCTGGGCTGCATTCGCTGTGGGATAAAGTAAGCATGCATTTCATCCGGCCCCGACACCCTCCTGAACAGTCAGTGTGTCCGCAAGGCAGACTAATCCTCGCGAGGTAAGGTGGGTCATGCTGAACTTTTCAAAGCTTTCTGAATACACAAGCCAATTTGTCTGTGCGCCGAAAGGGTGGTGCACCATTGGCATTGCAATGGCTTCCGTCTCCGGCCAAGAGTGTGGACTTAAGCGCTGGGTTATCGCTGGCTGCCTTTGTGGCACCCCTTCGAAGTACGGGAGCAGGGCACGACGTGGCAAGGATTGACAAAGTCAAAAACAACTATCAACGATCAACGTCTTGATTATCGCCGCACCCAGTCCTTGTGCATCCGTGCATGCATGCGCACAGTATAGGAAAATCATTCGAAGGAGTGGAACCTGTGCAGCCCTAACAAGCCGTGAAGACGGGAATCCGAGTCTGGGTCTTCCTTGTGGTGGCCTGCCCTTGCCGGACCAAAGCTGCATGAGTCAGCCTCCACCCTGAGATCCAAAACTTGACGTCTTCTGAACTCCGGAAAATGCTGGGACTACTCCCAATTTCGCTGTACCTGCAGGGTTGCATCTACATTCCGCTTCCTTTTCAGTATGGGGTGGGCACTGCTAAAGAGCCATCAACGGATTTTAGTCGTCTCTGTAAAGCTTCATTCAATCACACTGTTTCTCGGTGCCCTCTGTAAACATGCAAGAAGTTACTCCCTCGCTGCCAAAGAGTTCCAAAGAGCATCGAAGGGTGGGACCCGCTAGGATCCGCGAGTCCAAGCGTGGAGCAGAGCCTTCCATTCCAAAGTTGCGACTGCTGTTTCGGCTCCTGGCTCACGGCTCGGGCCCTCCGTGCCCTCTCTCTGCTTCCACGGTCGCCAGCGGAATGAAGAAAGCCTTCGGCGATCGAACTGCGGGCAACCGCGTCACCATCATCACTGCTGGTAGAAGAAGAGCCTCCGTAGAAACTCTCTCGGGCAGCCGTACTCAAGACAGAATTAGCCTGTGACTTCGATTCAACTGAGCTTCACACCCACCGGAAGAGATGGGCCCCTTGCAAGAGGTACAGGGCCGAGAGCAGCAGCAAAGCACGTCCAAGCGAGGCTCGCCCAGAGCGAGGAGAAAACTCCGAACCGCCGCTGGTGCCTGTCAAGGCCTCAAAAGACACAGGTGACAAGACTCACAGCAAAAACCAAAACAACAGAAGGAGCTGCTTGCCGGCCCCTGACGTCTCATTCAACGTAAATACAGCGGATCCCGGTGCTGTACTCAGAAAGAAGGCAGCCAAGCCTCCGATGCTTCCGACCTGATTCACCCAGCGATCAACTTACTGCGACGAGCAGAATCCTGGCAGAGCAAAACCCATCCTAGCCCAACAGGTCACCTGCATGGCAGGCAACTGAGGGAACGACGAACGGACCTTCGCGAAGTAGGTCCTGTTGCTTACAGAATCTGGCTGCCGTCCAAAACTGCGGGTAGCAGCACGGACATGCTTCTCTACACTTTGCCACCAACTCCTCAACTTGCGATTGACCACTGCACCGAAGCAATATGGCACCTGAGCAGAACGGCATGTCCAGAAACGTGGAACGCAGAATTTCGAAGGAACCAGGAACCAAAGGAACCGTTCCTCAAGGCTCCGCCACGTGACCAGCACACGCGCGCAGCGGATGCCCACACGGAGGCCGAACTCCCGGAAGGCGGCTGCGAGGCGCACCGAAGCACCCAATGCCCCGGGATGGGCGACGAAGGAGATGCCTCGTGCACAGTGAACCCCAAAGCTGAAGAAGTAGCAAGTGGCAGGTATAAACTTGCTCAATCCCAACCTGTTTTAACTAGCTTGTCTCCTGTCTACAGCTTAAAAGTTCCGGCTTGGAACCATAAACCCCATGTACCCCACTCTCGCCTAGAAAGTGAAGCGGAGTAGTGAAGAGCTGCAGCGGAAGGGGCAGCAAAATCTGAACCACGTCCTGACTACTGTGAAATCAGCGGCTCTGGGAAAAGCTTCCGAAACACCGGATCCAGGATCCAGGCTATGGCCAGCCGATTCATGCTGACAGTACCGTCTACTGCTTCGTCTGATGAGAAGCTTCAAGACGGCATCACCCCATGAACAAGTGTACCCGGACCCTGCTCTCATAGGTCCTGAACCTGGAAACCACGTATCGTTGTGATGCCCTTCTCCCTAAGGTTGCCAGTGATCCTCAGTCAAGGCCGAGGGCTTCGGTGAGCTTCTGAACATTGCACCCGAGGTCTGCAGTTTAAGCCGCATCACAGATCCTGTGTAAGCCTCTCCGCAAACTAGCCGGGGAGTCTTCTGAGCCACAGTAAAGAGGGAAGCAAGGAAGGACCTGAATTGCCGAAGCAGCTTACTTATCCTGACCTGGCACCACTGAAGGTGCAACATTCCTGCGTCAAGGAGCTTGTCTGGTAGAACGAAGACAACGAGCGAGAAGATCAGGTCCCGTGCCACCCATGCCACTATGGCAGCCTACGGTGTTTGAGACGGCTCGCTGGTGCACTGTATTCTTCCCAAGCGGCTGGACATTGGTGGTAGAAACTGGCAGACTTGGGGGCAACAGACACGAAACGTCGCATGTGAAGTTCAGTTCAGGAACTTGGGCATTATGGTCATTCTGCTTCCAAGCCGGGTCCAGGTATAATCCCTGCTGCACTGCTGCACGGTTGTACTGGCCGCAATTCGTGGATGCCATTGCCCAACATGCCATGCAACAAATACGGCGACGGGTTGCTGCTCTATTGACAGGTTTGCCAGTGTTGGCCTCATCCCTTTGCCTGGTCACAGATCTGCCGGCAAGGACAGTGCGCAACAAACTGTACTTATTGAGAGAAGACTGCAAATAGATCAATGTGCACAGCCCAAGTTGCACTGGGGGGCACGAGGCTACCACCAGTCAGGTATGCATCCTTAGCTGGCATGGTCAGGAAGTCCCTTTTGCATCGTGATCGGTTCAGGAAACCCAACGCAATGCTCGTCATCGAAGAGCTTCTGCCCTGCCAATATTGCCTTCTTGGAGTTGCGTCGAAGGTTTTGCACCAACACTTTGCTGGCCCCTCGTACTTCGTTCACAACCTGCATGCCCTCCACACATTTAGTTCCTTGAAGTTCGGGCGTCCTTCAAGCACATGACAATGCAGTTCACCGTCGTAGTACACAGCCACACCTTGGGTCAACGGACCGCGAGTACGAGACTAGACTCTAGGTCTTGCACAGCGCAGACGGTGTTACTGTTACTGTCATTGCCAGGTCACCATAACATCTGGACGCCAGCCCGCCCAATCACAGAGCGTGCGTGTGGCGTTGGCCGTGCCGTATGTACCGGAGAACAGGAACCAAGTCCAAGCGACGGCTGGGAGCACAAGCTCTGGGCACCTGCGGCTTAGACATCTTCAGCTCGTGGGTGCTCGGTTCACAAGCTACTGCACTCCCGTGTACATATGTCCAAGCTGCAGAATGCAATCTTGGAACACGGAGCCGAGCGTGATCAAGACGCCGGGCGACTCTGGTTTACCTGCTCCTCATCGCATCAAGCATCCATCTCCCCTTGTATCAATCAGGAGTGGAGATCCATCGAGAGCCCGCTCATGGATTTCAAGGTATCTAAGCGCCGGTCGGAGCATGGCCAGATCAATCGGCGCAAGGATAATCGCGAGTCCAAAACCTGCACTACACATACGCGCGTAGAAGCACCTACTAGAATCTAGAATCTAGCAACGTCAGTATCGACTGGGGTTGCTGTCCACGCGTGGGTGGGGGGAGGTTCCTCAGCTCCAGGAGCTGTGTGGCTATGTGTGCAACATTTGCCGGGGTGGTAAGGCGGCCTCAAGAGCTTCCTTACTGGTGTGTGCAAAGCCTGTACGCACAGGCTCTAGCATGTCGCTGTCGTGCGGCTCGATCGTCTCCACAGACCCACGCCGTGGTGCAATACATGCGATTCTGGTGCAGTCTTTCGTGTACTCCTGGCGCTAGAATCGAGGCAAGACCCGCCCGAGCCTACGATAAGTGCTGCGGAGACATCGGCGAGGAGATGCTGCAGGAGCTTCGCTTGCCCTGACAAACTGTTTCAGACGACTCAGCACCATGCTTGTGATCGCTGCGCAATGTCACAAATATTTCAAGATACTTGGAAACGTCCTTTCTTCGAACATGCAGCTGCTTCAAAACCGCGGCAGCCGTGCGTGCTAGTCGACTTGGCCACGGCTTCACATCCGACAAAACACTAGGAAACTGAGAGGGGTCAAGAACCTCAAATCAGACCAGACGCAAACATGGTTGCTTTGCGCAGACAGGCTTGCCCTCAACAAGGACAAACCTCAAGGTTCCCGACAGACGGATGGTTGGGGCGGGCTGGGGCCCTGGCTTCCAGATGCTGACCAGGTGTTTTTCATCAATTTCTGCTGGTGAAGGAGCCCAGGAAGCGGGGTGCCAACCATAGCTGGCAGCGGTGCAACTTTTCGCTTTATCCAAGCCTGTCGGTCCTCGCGCATGATGCGTGTCTTGCTAGGCACTGCAGGGATCGGCTGTGAGGCTGCTGCTATCGAACAGCTGCACTGTGATGGCCATTCACTGACTCTGGTGTGGCTTGAGGCAGACACGTGTACAAGGTGCAAGCATCGAACCACCTTGCGACTGCGTCCAAATGCCTTGTGTATCCTCATGATGCAGGATGCTGAGTTCTGAGGCTAGGGCTTCAGAGGTTGTGTTCGCATAACGGCTCCTTACGCCAGAAAACACAGGAATGTGATCGGACGTGAATTAGCACGCGGTGTGTTCAGCATGTTCAGCCTCTTCAGTCCAAGTTTGAGATCAGCCTGCGAATCCTGATCTTTGTTGCTGCAGCAGGATGCTCGGAATCTCAGATCAAAGCAATGAATCGGCGATGTGGCTCGCTGTGGTTGGGTGGGGTCTTTCCTGAGCTTCAATGTGCTGGCACTTGCTGAACCACAGAGCGAGTAAGCCATTTTCACACCCTGAAACCAGCTCGTTCCAAACCATCAATGGCTGGACCCCCTCTCCACACCCAAAGTCCCGCCATGCCAGCATCCTAGCGCTTGGACCTCATCTCTTTGCATAGGCTCGATACCCTCTCAACAAACACCTTGAAGGAACCACCGCCCAAATCCCAACTGCGCTGCTTGTCCTTCGGCTCAGACACAGTGAAGAAGAGCCTGTACTCAAAAAGGACCCGACACCCTGCAACGCAAAAGCAGGTATTTGTCAGCTTGAAGGCGCCAGCATTGACGATACTAGTAAGTCTTCGCAATGGGTCGTCTATACAGGCGGCAACACAAGCAGCACTTGCGCCAAGCATCGCCTACTCACATCGAAACCAAAAACATGACACTGCCAGCCCGCGCTACTCCCAGCCGGAGCCTTGCCGTGCAGCATCTCCCGCCTGTGCGCAGTTCGAAGCCCTGGTTCGTGACGAGTGAGGAACACACTGTCCAAAAACAGACTCGCCTTCGACGATGGCCTTCGGCTGACCAGAAATAGAAAGCTGCGCTCCTGGCAAGCTGAAGTGTTCCGAAGTCGAAGGAGAGCTCTCAGCAAGCCCAAACCCTGAAACTGCTTTTGCCTGCATTTCACCAACGTCGGTCGGTACAGATTTGCAGAAAGCCTCTGCCGTTTTGGCTCGAGCTTACTCATCTGCCACCAACATTGGGTCGCACTCAGGCTGAATGTACCTGCATGCATTTGCGAATGGCGGGTGCTGGTCACCGGTCGCTGCTGCTTCTACAGGTTCCCGAAACTAGCAGGGACTGCTTTGGACCACTTTGGAAAACTCGTCATGCAATTCACAATAATTGCACATTGACCAATAACTGCGGCAAGGAGGCATGTTCTCATGCTCCGTCCTGTCCTGCATCATCCTATAACATGCAGCAACCCCGGCAACATCTAGTCCGCAGCTCCTTGCTGTCGCGGAAAGCTTTGACAACCTCCTCCAAGGGCAAGGTCTCGAAGGCCAAGTTGTTGACCTCTCGCCTTGGTCCAACTTGGCTTGGCAGTACAAGAAACTTGACACGTTGCCACGAGTCGAACTGCCGAGCTGCCTTGCCATGTAAAGAACCAGCAGTGATGCAAATGCAGCAGCAGGAGGCCCAAGCCAGATGTCCTGTCACGGAGCTGTGAAGGTCACCGCACGCAGATACCCAGAGAAAGGGATAGGGGCCAAGTGCAGAGAGTGTTCCGAAAAGAGCTGTGCCTCTAAGGCCGTTCCACTACTGTGTCAGGCTCAATGGAGTAGCCAGGAGCACACACGCTTTTGCTCAAGAAGCTCAGGATTGGAGTTTGCTCAACCCAGGACACACGCCTCCTTTGTGAGGGCTCGAAGGACACCGACCATAAGCATCACCTCTGTCAAAAAACGCGTTGAAGAAGTGACTCTTGAAGATAAGACTAGTCGAGGGGCGTAGATCGCCAGCACAATAAAAAGCTGATCCATGGCCTGCAAGCCAATCGGAACCTTCAAAAAAACAAGAATGGCTCGAGACCTGGCCTGAACCCAGAAAATGCCACCGGTGTCGGGCTTCTTACTCTCGCAGAACAGCAGGAGGTAGCCGTAAACAAATTGGGCGAGGAAGAAGTATACCCAAGTGAAGACCTGTCGCACTGGTCAGGGAATCCGAGAATGCAGCGAGTAGCGAGGTCCCAGCGAAGATCAAGGGCGAGCAGGAAGCAAACAAGAAGAAGATGGAAGCCATCAACAAAGATCGGGCCTCAAAACAAGAATCAAGTTCATGTCTATTTCAGCAACCTCCTTATACGAGGGCTGGACCATTCTGGAGCCCAAGCCATAGTAGGCTACATCCTCCGGCTCGGAGTACTCTTTGGCTTCCTCCTCCTGCAACGGACAGCGCCTAGCTCGCTGGTCAAAGCATGTCATGGGTGTCCTCAAAGGCACAAACCTTGCGGTAGAAAAACCACTTGGCCTCAGGGGCGTTTGAAGCTGGCAAGCGTCTTGACATCAGGGTTCCTCTGTCCGGACGCTTCAAGCTCGTATATGCATACGGCTGGGATCGGTGCCAGGTTTCCGGTGCGGAGCAGATCCTGACGTTAAAGCCAAGCCAAAGTGCAAACAACCGCTCGCTGTCAACTTCCGAAGGCTGCGAGATAGTGGCAGGGGTCCAGCGGGAGCACCAGCCATCCCAGGATCACGTAGTTGAAGTAAAAGTGGGAAGCCGAGGGCAGCGATGCAGCGAGCCTGACGGGATCAAGCCGCTGGGGCCCCTGCCAGGACAAACAACAGAGCAGAAGAGGCCGCCAACGTCCCAGTGCTCAGCGCTTCGCAGGCTGATGATCTTCGCCGGCTCCTGCCCGTGGCCCGTGGTGTTACCCTCGGCACTCCCAAAGTGTTAAACGCTGAGCACGCTCCCCCTTTAACTCCTGCATGATGATGATGAATGTAATGGTAAGTCCTCGCCCGAGCGAGGTTACCAGGACCACGAAAAGCCTTTGCTGTGAGCGGCTTCAAACAGGCAGAAATCGTCAGAATTGTCATGGCCGGAACCCTGCTGTGCCTTCCGTTCCAACTCCCTGCCAACATCTCCGAAGCCAAGACGCAGGAGGAAGGCTGCAGACCACTGCTGCAGCTTGAGCTGCTCAACGCTGCCAGCTTTGAGGTGGGAAGTAGTAGTGATGATGGCGTGCAGCACCTGAGCAGTCGCAGACATATTACAGCAGGAAAACACGAACACAGATGCCGGCAGGAAACGTTCGGAAGGAAGGCCATGAACATCTTCAAGGCCGCTGTCGCCAGAACGCCGGAGAGCAGATTGCCGATAGCGGGGTGGGCATCCACAAACTTTTTGACAATGGGCACAGTGCCCTGAACGAGACGAATCGCAAATCTGTACCAATGCGACACCCTCAAGACCCAGACGTTCAAAATCAATACCGGCAATACCCCTCTCCCGATTCGGAAGACGGCCTGGATTGAGCTCAGTGTGGTCCATCCAGAAATGGCCACCACGATGGGGATCCAGAACAGGAACACTGCGACTAGGGCAAGTCTGCCTAGCCGTCGGCAAGCTTTCCCATGGCTGCTTTTCGTGCGACGCCACTAGCTGTCTTTAGAACTTCGAAGTGCGTGAATACCCGAAAGTTGGACAAGGCCATGCTTGTGACAAGAATCCCAGCCATTTCCAGGAGGATGCATTGATGTCGTCCTCTGCTAAGTTTTCGTACAGAACATCGTTCGAGTCCGGGGCCATAAACCTCGTCCCGCAGAACAACACTGTCGGCACTTCCTCCCAAAGCTCGCCAAGCAAGGAAACCAAGGAGGGGATTGCTCTCTGAAAGACTCACCCGTCTTTCAATGCAGTCCAGGAACATCCTGAAGGCCTGCACATCACGCGTGCATTGCCTCGGCCGACACCAAAACATGACCGGCGCATAAAGGGACTGTAGCAACCCAGAACAACTTTATACCTTCATTGACATCCGCCAGCAACATAGGTAGCGAAGGGCAACACTGTGATCGATGTGCAAAACCCTTCATCGCTCTCTCAGAAGATTCAGACTCACCACACGTGCCAGATTTTCGGGATCGAAGCTTCACATGGCTGTTTGTCGGGTCACATCGCGAGGCTTGCGCATCGCAACGGAACTGCGTATTCCCGGAGCTTGCAATCACTCTATTGCGCTTCCTATCACAATCTTCCTCTCCCAAGAAAAACCATCCCTGATGCACGGCCGCAGCACTCGCGGGACGCAAGCCGTTGTGACAGGATGGTCGTAAAGGTCACAAAGCCTGAAGAAGAGCCAACCTGCACAGGTCACGATTTGCAGAGTCTTTCCAGCGTCTCGTCAGCCGCTGTCAGATACTGAGCTTCTCGGCTGCGAGTCTGGCAGAAGTGAGTTTCAACCCTCATTGCACTTGAAGCGAGACTGCTCAAGCATTTCGTGGTGCTGCGTTCTGCCGGCCCTTCCGGCATCAGCTCACACATCAACTGAATGCCCGCCAGACCCAACAGCTAGCCGCTGATGAAAGAACAAATGACTCTGCTTGTCGAGCTCCTCATGAGCAAAAGCGTGATGCTAGCAATTGAAGCACCTTCTGGTCCGGCCGTGGGCCCTGTGCTGCTGCTTCGATGGCCGCTTGCTCTCGTGCCACGCGGCTCCTGCCACACACCAGCATGAGAACGGAATATGCAGAGCCCTCAGGTATTCGTGATCTTGGGGGGCTCAGCCACTGTCAAGACTTCTTGAAGAGAGCGTGTGGGGCTGTGCGATGTTGCACGCAGTAACTACTACCAGTCGTACTACAAGCAGACCGTTAACCGCTCGGATCCACTCGGAACATAAGTGCCACTGGCAAAGCCTTAGCCATGGGCCCGTCAACCTCCAGAACAGGATGCTACCGACGCAGCCCGTGCCTGAGATTGGCAATGGCGAGCCTTCGCACACGTGTGGATACAAATCTGTCTTTCCGGACAACTCCAACACATGTGCCTGACTGAGACTTTGCCGCCGGACTGGGGAATTCTGATCTGCAGAGTGTGTTTGTCCCAGTTATATCAAACGGGGGATGCGACTCATGCTCTCTTGACTTGAAGATTCAAGGAACAGGCTTTGCGGCTGCAAACGCGGCAAGCCTATGCTTCTCCAGCTCCAGCTCCTGGCCCCCATCCTCGGTTGCCCCCTGCTGCCGCACCTGAGACATGGTGGCTCGATGCGGATCGTCACCCGTGGATGCTCAAACGATTCAAGAGTTGCAGAAAACAAAGCCGACACCTTGACGGGAAGCTACGCCGTTGCTTTTCCCCTTTGCGATTGCTGCGGAACGAAGCGAAATACAGATAGTCAAGCCTTCCGGGACCGCAAACACCCTTTCCCTTCTGCAGTCGACTCAGCTGTAGTAAGTTTCAAGACCTGGCCACAGTTGCTACACTACGCACTGTGTGACAACCCGTGATCCGAAATTACATCCCACATGCCTTGTTTATGCGATTGGAGAGGACGGCCGCATCATAGCGAGCAGCACGGAGCTGCTGCACCTTGCATGAACTGCATTTTCCATGATTGGTGAAGAACCCCCGATGCATAGGCCACGGCCGGCATGCAGGGCCTAGCACATGGGTGGACAGGGCCTACGACACAGGTCTAGGCTGTCGGAGGGGTTCTTCATATCAGGATGTGTGGTATTGATGACAATTGGTTTGTGATGATGGGTCAGGGTATCGCGCACGCTTGTGACCACAAGGTCTTGCAGGTTTCAAGATTTTTGTCTTCTGTCGAGGAGTGGCGGCTTGAAGAAACCCATGAAAGAGGGAGGACTTTCAAAGCCACGTTACCAATCCTTATAATATCCTACTTTGCACAATGTTTTCCTTCTTGTGCGCACAAACCGCTGGCAAATACGGTACGCTCGAAGCATCCAGAACGAACCACGTAGTGAAGCCTAGGCAAAAAAACGTTTACCAGGTTTCAACAGATGTTTCCTCGAAATGCACGGTGCAATACCAGCGTGGTCACACTCAGGCGCGCTACCTGGTTTAAGATCGTCAACGCAAGGAAACTTGGAGGGCTTTTGAGCCTCGGTCTTGTGCAGAAATGCCGGATCTGCAACAGAACTTGCTGATGGCAAAGGAACCTACACGAGAGAAGTCTTGACGTACATGATAGCCAGAGGCGGCCAGAGGCCGTCAGCAGTAGCAAGGTTCCCATGAAAGCCTGCTTGCCGGTGAAGTTTCGAAGGTGCGCTTAGACACAGGCTGAGGATTTGCGTCATCCTAGGACCTGAGGATGAACTGATCTCTCCAGTATCAGCGATGGGAAACCTTTATGGATCTTTACGGCATGGTCGAGATGGTTCCTGTCCAAGGCAGGGTGAGACCGAACAGCTGAGTGCCGGGCTAATTGCGGCAGCCTGCCTGATAGTCTGAACCACGAAGCGCAAAGACGCAAACTTATAATCATCAAGGCCACAGCAGTACGCAGCATTTCTGACTTCCTTCGCTTAATCTGCCCTGATGGCAAAAGATCCCGATGAAATGCTGCTGAAGTCTGCAACTTCGATGATTGCCGAACAGTATTCGAAGCCGTGGAAGCCCCGAACACAGCTCCACAAGCCGCCTGTTCTGCGGATTACATAAGCACGCTCCACGGTGTGCTGCATAGTCTCTTCTGAGAAAACCTTGGCAGAAGGCTTCACTGCAGTTGTCGAGGTGGCAGTTTTGCCCTACAAAGCATTATTGCACTACCAAGCATTAAGATAATCGCGCCTTCTGTCAACTCGCACATCTCCTTGCAGCATCTACGTAGAACTTCTTCTAATCCGTAATGAAACCCAATCTGCAAGGTTGGTCCCTTGACGACTGTCATCCAGTCAAACTCCACTGATAAGCTCATCACCCTGTTCACACCTCGAGATTTAACGTACTTGCTTTGACCGGACAATCGGATCTCCAAGAAGACTACAAGACTGCATGATTCTTTTCCGTCGCAAGAGGCTGTGTCGAAATACTCCTTCAGCGCACTGTCGGAGCGGTACATGGGGGGGATGTTGCGCACCATCACCGTGGTCGATCGGGGCCTGCCACGACCCCAACAGCACCCTAGCAATCGAATGGCCCATATAGTAAACTTCAAAACAGACATCACTTCAACTGATGTTGCGTGCCTAGGCAGCGTTGCGAGCCATTGATACCGGCGTTCTGTGAACCCATCATGTGCCAGCTTGATCCTGTTGGCAAGCAACTTCGAGCTATTGTGCAGCAGGAGCAAGCAAGTATCCGCAAGCCAGCAAGAAGCGCATTTGGCGGAACGCAGGATGCAAGAAAGATATGCAGATCTCACATGCCCCCCCTTAAACTGACCAACTGTGTGGACGATGCCTATCACCCGGTGACCTTAAGCTTTGGCTTCCGATAGGCAGCTTGGTGCAGTCGTGCCGCTGCCAGGCGCTAATTGTCACCACGAACCACACCACAGCTGCGTGGAACCAGAGCATCCAGCTGTTCCTGTTTTCAAAAGAGGAGTCTCTGGGCTTACAGACGGACAGACGGGCGGTGTTTCTGCGCGCCTGGGCAGGTTGCCGATGTCCAGCCGACTCAAGAAGTCCAGAGTGTTGTGGGACTCGCGGCTGGCTACGAAGTGCAGCGGAAGCAGCACTGCTAGCATGAAGGGGCCCAGGATGGACATGATGCGCAGGTTGAGCCGCACAAACTCCTGACCGGGGGCTTCGGATGTTCCCATCTGTCTTGCGTCACATGTGTGTCGGCTTCATCTCACAAATCTGTTGATCACCTCTTGTGGGAATCCCTTTCAACTTGCCCCTCTGCTTTCTCGATTTCAACCTGGATCTTCCTTCCACTTTGCATCCCACAGCCTTGGGTCCCCCAGAAACCGCCCTTGCAGCCCTTAGGCACCAGCAGGGACCAGCCATCAAGTCCCGCCAAGCGGACTTCGTCATCCGGCCTCAATGGATGATAAGGTTCCTCCTTCCTCACTTCCTAATTACATGCACATGGGAGCTGCTTCGGATTCCTGGTTTTACGGACTCCCAGCTTCGCCTTCGAATGTGATAAACCAGGCGTTGAGAGAATGAAATCACTACAACCCCGGTTGCTGCGTCTCCGCTCAAGCAAGTTGGAACTAACAGCACCAAGAACTTGGACGGAATACACAATGCAGGATCAGCCACGTCGTGTTCCACACCTTCCACAAGGAGTCCAGCCAGCGCATCCCTGTAGGTACCTGCATTGGGAAACGAAGGTAAAGTAGAACAAGTTCAGCTTCTCGGTCCTGCAAACATAAACAACGAGAAAGTCAGTTCTGCATGAAGACGGTGGCCTGAAGGTGGTACTCTTCAGTGGCATCTGTGTCTTTGATCGATTTGCCTGAGACTTGGGCCAGGAAGGGCTCGAACCATGTACAATGTAGAAACTTAAGGATTCCCAGAGGATCGCCTTGCACTCTCAGTCCGAGGCGTTTGGACGATCTCTGATAAACTTGGGGGAGGAGAACTTGCAGTGCTGCAAATGCGAAGATCACTCCTGCACGAAAAAGTCGGACATAATACTGTGGAGGAACGTGTGTGAAACAAGATCGTTTCTGCCGCTCATCCTGCAGCACCCACTGTGCCGAGGACCAGGGAGGTGTTGAGTGTTCGCATGTCGCTCTCGCCATTCAGCGCAACGCCCATGACCTGGTCCGGGGTGAGAAACAGTTCAACCTGAAGAGGATAGCAGGTAATCCCAGTGCCATATACCCCATTCATCTTTTTGCATGCGCAGGGTCCTCGAAGGTCCCGTCTGCACCGCCCGTGTCAGGAGCGCTTTTGGGGTTTACGGCTTGGCTTATGTACAACTGAAACCCAAAGTGCTCTGTTTCTGGCAACTGTTGATACTTGGCGGTAACGAGGAGTATTGTCCATCCACACCATGGATTGCGAAGAGTTCGACTCTGATGTCGGCTGCTGTCGGGATAGCGAAGAAAGCATGTTCAATGGAGGAGCGTGACGGGGCTGCGTCGGATTGCAAATGTGTAGTGCGCTTGGAGGCTTCCACTAAGTGCTCTATTGGGGCCTTTTGTGTGGCGGTACGCTGCTGAGGCCATAAATGTGGCCTGAAACCCAATGATTCGGGGTGCTGATATATGCGGCTTAAAAGGTTGAGGCGATTCTGGGAATACAGTTGAGAGGGGGTTATAACCCGTCTGGACGAAGAAGCCAATTCTGCTAGATACTGATTAGAGCATGGAGTCGCCGAGGGCTTGATAACTCTGTCATAGTAAGAAGACTTGATCTCAAAAATTCTACGTAAGCATTCATAGTGAATGGAGTCGAGTTTCGTGAGTTGCGAAGGTAAACAGAGTGCTATCCATTGCATACATGAGAATGGACTGCACGACGGAGCGATATACTAATAGCTTCCAATTGTGGTTTGTAGAGCGCAGGTCGAGGTAGACTCCCAGGTATTTAACGGCGTCAGAGAGAGGGACCTGTAGGTCGTCCACAGGAGGAGTTAAGCGAAAGATGACTTGTCAAAATCAAGGTACAAGCCCCTTCGGGCTCCTTCTTTCTGCACCAAGTGAAGAAAGACTTGTGCCTGAGAAAAATAGTTAGACAAAAGTACTGCATCGTCTGCGTATTCTAAGTCCCAAAGGGAGGATCCAAGCCGGAGAACGCCGGAGATAATGCCATGTTTCGTGGTATACTGTGGAGCGAACACCAACCCTCGGATTTGTCCGTGCAGCATATGTGGACTGTCCAGTGCGGCAGGCCACAGACCAGGGGATTCGGGACCCCTGTAGCTGTATTTCCATGCTACGCCAGCACATCATCCAGTATAGGAGACCAGTCAAAAGAAAGCGACGATACGCCATCGACCGTTCGAACTTGCGGCCCTACCTCTGGCAACCTCCAGCCCAAACCCTTGGTAGTGGTCGTGGTAGCAGTTGTAATAGCAGTAGTAGCTGGGCGATAGCAGTAGGCGTAGTAGAAGAAATGCTTGTATAGCCTTCCACCGGACTTGATGAATTCGAATCCTTCTCGACGCTGTTAGCAACATGCTTCTGCGGACAAGGATGGCTCTACATGCAGCAATGCCCGCATGCCTTTCTGGGCTCTTCGAAGATCTCTTCCGCCCTCAGGTGTCAGGACAACGCTTACACTCTGACACGGCTTGCACGAGCTTGCGAAAGCTTCCTCGTACCAGTCAGCTACAGTCGCAGCTGCACAGGTCTGAGTTCGCGCTTGTCACGTTATGGAAGCTGCGACCTGATCAACTGCATTCCACCTATAAACCATCGCCTGTAGCAGTCACAATTGACAGGGCCCTGCAGTTGTGCCAAGGCACTTGGCAGGCTCCTGAGCTGTGGCTACAACTAACACTCGACAAGTACCACCTGCCTTGCAACAGGCAATTTCACGTCGAACGTAACAATGCCGGTGACACACATACTGCCACAGAGTCTCCAGCGGAACTAATGCCGCATCAGAAGCATTGCTGGACGAGTTAGGAAGATCCAGGTATCCGCGCAATTTATCCTGCCTGCGCAGTCCGGCTGCATGCTGGTGGAGTCAGGCGTCAAGCTCAATTGCCGTTTTTCTCAACAATAACAGCTTTAACGCATTCGAAATCTTGGGCACGGCTTTCCCGACCTTGGAGCATTCCTGAGAAAGCTGGAGGACGCCGGCTGGAAGTCCGGGTTTTGCCTCAACATGGTGACTTCGTTGTGTTCCCTGCAGGACATACGCGGTCTGCTTTAATCCAGGCAGCAAATTCAGCAGTCGCTGTGGAGCGATACTCTCCTACACAAGCACAGATATACACCAGCAGCGACCCGGGTAGCGATCACAGATATAAAGCATCAGAGGGCAGATGTTTGTCTCAGCAGTTCTCTGATAAGGCTTTGCAGCTTTCGCTTGCACTACAAGCTCTCAAGAACGAGCCCATGAGCACTACTATCCTATTTTAGGCTACTGGACTACCTGCTTCCATTGGGGGCGACTCTGGCTCATGGGGAGAGTCTTCTCATACAGTATAAGGTGGTGTTGTCTATCCACATCATGTCATAGACGCAGAGCCACGGGCTGTGCTGAGTTATGTATCTTCGCGCGTAAGAGCTTCTGAAAGATGCTGCAAAGCCGTTGAGCCGCAGCTCCTCCACTGGGTCGGCCCGGCATCGAGCGATGCTGGCTATGCTTGCTTACACCTTCCACCCTTCCGGTGCACCCAAGTCCTCGCGCTGCGACGAAGCCCGCTCTGTAGACACCTCGGGGTTTACAGCACAGCTCAATAACTTAACTACACACAGGTCTTCTTCCAAGTAGCCTTGGCTGCCCAGAGCCCGCGTGCGAGCAGCAGAGGCGGGCTTAGCACCAGCAAGCTTTTGAGGCCCATTGCGCACACTGGCCCCCTTCGGGGCAGAGCGCTGCGGCGCTACATTAAGAAGTCAGATTCTTTGAGCAAAAACATCGGGCCATCGAGGCTCAATACAGGCATCGCAGTGCTGCAGTGACAGCTCCACCCTGTGTCTACCTCGCACTCGAACACCGATTACCGATTATATTCTGATCCCTCAGAAACGAGCAAACAGTGCTGCGCAAACCGCTGTCACATGATGAAGCGAAAGACGGATGGGATGGGATCCATACCCGCCTGGAGGCTGCAGGAACGGGAAACTCCGCAACGTCTCGCTTCATGGGTCAGAAGCTGAGATCGGAATCCCACAGAATTGCGGAGCGTTTGCCGCATTGCGCATCGCAGTTCTCATCTATCTCGCTTTTCGGCTTGCTTTGATGCTGCGTACTAACCTCCCGAATGAGAAGCACCTCCGTAAGAGAGCCAGCAGCTGCGGGTTTCCCGTCTACAGATGCGTCTCAAGCCTCTCGAGCTGTTGCAGCAGTGCGCACTTCGGCATGCGCTTGGACGCTTGATTGCCAGAGATTGTGGAAACAGACAAGTTGCCGTGAAAGCGTAGTCTACACATGTCAAGCTTCAAGCTAGGCAGTCACAGATAAGAAGGGTCCTTCCAATTAGCCTAGAACGCTAGTCCGACAGCCGAGGCAGGATGCGGAACTGCTGCTGGAATCGTCCATCAGCCAAAGCCTGCACCAAACCCCGAGCTTCCACTGAAGAGAAGCAACTCTTTTCACAATGTCAACCTTTGTCTACGTCGGCCCCTCCAGGAGCTGCATCACTTGCGGGCGACGCAACGGAAGACGCTGTGACTCTTGGGGGTTGAGCGTATCCACCTGAACAGTATGCTTCACAGCGGCCGACATGCACAATTTTTTGTGACTCGACGGAAGCACATCCCACCTGCAGTGCCGATCGAAGGAGCTCCTGACCGGGCTGAGCAATGAGTGCAGCTACTGCACGTCGCAGGAGATCCGAGATCGGAGCCCCTCCCCAAAAGAGCACTGACGTTTCAGAAGTTGGACCGTTAGCCGTTAGCAGTTTGTGTAAGTTTGGCCCCTAGTCTCCGTCCAGGCTGAGTCCGAGCTGTTTAAGTCTCCGCTGTCGCCTGCACAGAAGAGAATTTGGGAGGACAAGAACTCTACTCACGGGAGAAAGGAAATCCCAGAATTCCGGCTCCTGGTTGGGAGCCCTGCTTCTGTCGGTACATCTCCTGGTGAGGTCAGCATGAGTCTTCCTCTGACCCCCGGAATCTAAGTTTATCATGGCTCCAGGCAGGTTCGGAGTTCGGAGTGTCAGAGTTACAGCGAGTGCCGGGCTGGTGCGGCTGATGCTCGAGGCTCCTGCTGCTTCTGCAAATAAAAATCCACGATGTTGCTCCCTTTGCCCCCTGCAGCGCCGCCCGCAGCATCGCCCTCTGCTGCCACAGCCTTCGGGCCTGGCAATAAACAACACGCAACTCGATCAAAGAGTCTCTTCGAGCTATCTCGCACCGGCAGTCCCCCCCCCACCGCCCTCGCTGCTGCCTGTTGGCCGCTGGAGAATGGCGCTTGTAGAGGGACTGACAGGCCGATTCCGCGCGCGTTGGTAAGCATTCCACTCCTGTGATGAGGCATTTTTACATCTGACCAACCCCTTCGAATTTCACGCTCTGTCAGGGAATCCTGCAGGAACGAGGCAGCGAAGTAGATCCAACCCAGAACGACCCACCAACGAGTCGGCAACTTCGGAGTCGTCTCCATGTCCCAAATCTCCTCCATGGAGCGATTCTTGCCTGAGCTTCTCGCAGAACAAAGCACAGGTCGCATGTCTGAGGCCTTCGTCAAGCTGCGCTTGGCCAAGAATGGCAACAGGGAAGAGAAGATCCCGCGCAAGGAGCTGCCTATCCACACGGCGAAGCGCCTCTGGCACAATGAGGCGAAAAACTATCGCAATCGGCTGGAGTACTGAATGAGATACTAGTACAATACCGACAGTGTAACTGTGGCCTCAAGGGCTGCTCCTCGTTGGATCCCATCTCCTGGACCCAGCCATTTCCCATCCTTCGCTGATTGCTGACCGCTTCAAAACCTGTTCTTGGCCTACTCACCAGCCCAGGCAAGAATCATCAAGATCAGGGAGAAGCCTTGGATAATGGCGGCGATCTCCATGAAACATCGCACCGTGGTGCGGAAGTTGAATTGAGGCTGCATGTCTTGCGGCGGCATTCCAGGTTGGCCAGGCATGCCCGGCTGTCCCGGGTATCCCGGCTGCCCGGGCATGCCCATCCCCGGATATCCAGGCTGCCCGAACTGACCCTGGCCCATGTAGCCACCAGGGCTCATGTAGCTCTGCTGGCCGTACATGTTCATGCCCGGAGCCACGTAGCCCTGGCCTCAGTGACGGGGTTCCGTGGAGCCGGGGGCTACAACTGGTCCTATGCGGTCCTACAGGCCGTGGCCTTCACCTTTCAGTCTCTAGAACTCCGCTCAGCGCCTGCCACGGCCACTGGAGCCGCTGCAGTCGCAGGCGCAGCTGCCGCTGGGGCAGGGGCAGATGCAGTCGCTGCAGTCGCTGCGGTCGCAGCGGTCGCAGCAGTCGCAGCAGTCACAGCAGTCGCAGCAGTCGCAGCTGCGTCAGCCATTGTGGAGAAGCCTATGCATCTATGCTTCGAATGAGCTGATGAGCTGAGTATCGTGTGCGAGGGTCAATGTCAGGGAGCTAGCGTAGGCTCTGGGGCTCCGTCTGCTCGCCGAACGCCAAGACGCGGATTGATGACAGCGCTGCGCACTCGTCGATGATAAAACAAATGCAGCACACCGAAAGCACGCCATGGCAGACTGCAACGCACTTTTTCATCTTCGCAAAGCAGATCTTGTCATTTGATCGCTTGACTCCTGTGCAACGTAGTTGAGGAGAGTGCCAAAATCTGGCTGCGGCCAAGCTCACCAGTGAGTAACGATAACTCGACCAGCAGTCACCACCCTCTCACCAAGTCACAGGCTCCGTTTCTTATGGGACTCTTTCAGGACCGCATCCACTTTTTGTACTGCTCTGGCCAGGCGCTTCCGGCAGACCGCGACAGCAGTGGCCTCCATTTGCAACTCAAAGCTCCTGCGGGCCTTGTCTACAAAGACCTCCGCATGAGCTTTCTTGAGGGGCTTGCTTCGGGCACGCCCCCAAGCTCGCGAGGGTCTGCGCTGCACCGTCGCCTGCAAGACATGCAGCCAGGCCTCGCGGAAGTGACTCCACCCCTTTGCTCGGCCAGCCAGCAGCAAACTCCTGTGATCAAGGGCCTCCTCTAGACAGGTGCTCGACCGCGAGGAGACTGCGCATCCCACGATGCCCTTGGCATCCACATACGCAGTGAAGGAGGGCGCCAGGTCCTGAAGTTCCAAGCCCTCCTGGCAGCAGGCATCCACCAGCGCCTGTTTCAGGAGCTCACTCCTGTAACATGAACTGGTCGCGGTCGCTGTCGCTGCCGTCAAATCCCGTGCTCTGCGAAGGACCTTCAGCATGCTGGCGGCCTGCTGCGGGCTCTGGAAGCAGCGAGATGACACGTAGAAGTACGGGATGAGGCAGAGCTTCGCCATCCAGCCACCTTGCTTCCGATAGACGCCCCCCTGCCCCTGCCGATCCGACCTTGCAGTTGCAGTCCTTGCAGTCCTTGCAATCCTGGCAGCCCTCGGCCTCCACGGTCGGTGTGCCTCTCGCTCAGCTGAGCGCAAGCGTGCTTTGGCCTTGGCCAGCCGGGCTGGCCATGGTCTCGGCCTCTGGGATGACTCTCCGCCCGGAACGGCCACTGTCAGAGGTGCCTTGGACCGCTCCAGCCGCTCCATGAATGCCAGGAGCGCCAGCCGCGTTGTCGGAGCCATGGCCTCCAAGACCTCGCGCCGGGCCTCACGCGGAAACTCCGCCACGGCACGTCGCAGCCTCTCCAACGCTCGGAGAGCTCTGTCCGTGCGCGGCGCAGGCTGCACATACGTGCGGCCTGAGGGCGGTGGACGCCTGCATTGCGACAAGCTGCAGCGCCTCGAGCACAGAGTGCTGAACACTAACCTTTAGGGACAGATGTCATGGAAGCCAAGCAGCTCTGTCCACCCGGCAGGATGCGCAGTTGGGATGTGATCCTCAACTCTGTCACAGGCACTACATGCAGTGTAACTGATCCTAACTACTTGTGCACACACATCTTCACACACACACATACAAACATGCAAAATACATATATGTACATACAGAACCTGCCCCTGCTGCAGCACCGGATCGAATGTGCTAAGGTCAGGTCTGACTTGGTCATGACTATCATCACGTTCTGCAAGCTCATCTGCCTCGAGGAAGCCGGATGGAACCGCGCAATTCCGGCATCACACAGATGCTGTGACTGCGATGCCATGCAAGACTGCAGCGTAGTGCAGTGCAGCACATGCCTCCTCTTCTCTCTCTGTCTCTTCTTCTGCTTCTTCTTCCTGGAGTCGACTCAACCTGGCGACGTGGCGCTGCGTTTCACGCCATGCCATGTACACATCCATGCTGGGCTGCTGTTGCAGCGCTGATGCCTCCATGGATGCACCGATGAGAAGGAAGGTCTCAATGGCTTCAGACATGGCCTGGTGATCGGGCAAGAAACCCGTGCGCTCGAAAGGCTGCGACCCTACATGCAGAAACTCAAGCAGCCGTTAAAACTAAGCTGCATGGATGCACGGTGTGAATGTGTGTATATATCTGTGTGTGTGTGTGTGTTGCTTGCTCGCTTGCCTGCCTGACTCACTGCCTGCCTGTTTGTTTGCTTGCTTGCTCCATTTATCATATGTGTGTACATCCTGTTATGCTCGAATCTACACATTTACAAGCAGGCGTAGACTTGCTCATTCGGATTTATTTGGGATATACTGCACTACCGTATAATCCAGTCATAGTCGGATTTTTTGCTTCCTCAAAAACAACAGTATCCATATAAGTATGCACATACGCATACACTTACAAATAAAACGAGTGCATACATACGCTACACATACCTGTATCGTCTGTACATACATATGTATATATATATATATATATATACATATGTATAATAAGTATGTATAAAATACATACAGACCTCCATCCATCCATGCATAAATGCATGTGTGCGTGCATATACACATACATATACATATACACATACATACACATATAATACATATACATATACATATACGTATAAATATACGTATGCGTATGCGTATACATGTACATATACATGTACATATACATAGACATAAACATAAATATATATATATATATATACATATACGTATACATCATAACCTTCATTCACACACAATTATACACATCATATGCGTCATGTACATCATATACGTCATATACGCCATATACAACACATACAGAACCATATACATATTCATATACATAGGCCCATACAGTGCCTATACGCTACACATACATATACTGTCCTCTACATATACATATATGACATGTACGTGTGTATTACATACATATATACTATGCGTCCGGTGTCTATAAGTACATGCAGGCCCCCCCCCCCCCCCCCCCCCCCCACACCCCCCGGCTCCCACTGCCCCCCCCCCGCTCGAGGCTGCTGCCGACATGGCGAAAAGCATCGGAGCCTCCGGGATTGCAGGAAGGGATGACAGAGCTAGACCTGCAAAAAAAACAGTTCACCTTTCACCCAGCTGGTGTGAAAAGGTCTCAAAATCCCTGTTCAGCAAACGTCCGTGACCTTTCGTGCAGAACTTTGAGACAAGGCGCGAGCCGAAGATGTTTGTGCGGGTAGCAGCCCCGCAAGCTGTGAGCCAGATGGGCAGAGCCTTTCAAATCGCGACCTTGCTTCCACCTGGAAGGTGAATATATGCTTCGTGGATTGCATGTGAAGCGCTCCGCACCAACAGCCACTGCTCAGACCCCGTGCCGAGCACATGGTTTTGTCGAGGTCGCGGAACTGCAGGGCGTCTCGGCTGTACAGAGTTGGAAAACTGCAGGTCCACTGCTACCATCCTATGCACACAGAAATCATGATTCCCATTAGGGAACGAAAGTCTGTCACTCCGTAAATCCTACTTGGCTGAGTCGCGTGCTAAATGCTGACCCACACCACATCAACCATGGTCGCATCTCGACTTCGCGAGACGACCCTACCGCTACATCGTCGCGGGTGCCAAGCATCACCTGCACTCGATCGCCAAGTCACTATCGTGGTGCAGGCCTGCAAGACATGATTTGCTTCGGAGTTCGCAAGCACTGCAAGATTTTGTACCGTCAACACGAGCCTGTGCCAATCCGGGCTTGAAGCCGTTGGCGTTGTGGCCCACAGACCATCGTCTTGGAACACTGATGCTAAGCGCTGGCCCACAGTTTGCCACTGCTCGACAACAATCGGTGACGCGCTCCAGAGGCTGGCTGGGCTCACAGGACTCGCAGGGCTCGCAGGGCTCGCAGGCGTCTTAGGGTTCCAGGGGCTTGTACCGGTGGGGCTTTGGTGGCCAGCCACATTGAAGCTTAGAGAAAAGCCCGGACCAGGAGAAAAGAGCTGTCCGGAGCTGGAACAGCTTCCCGGCGTGGCATCCTGCAAAATGCCCGCCAAGCCGTGTGAAACTGCCTTCCACTGCTCGAGGTGGATTGGCGAGGCTCCAGGAAGGTTGGGTGAAGCTGACAAAGCCGGCGAAGCTGGCACGGGACGGACATCCACGGGAAAGGAAGCAGCTTCTGGGGAAGCTGCGGCTCGCTGTCTCTGAGATTCGGGAAAGAACGGCGATCCGAGACCATTCAAGGAGCGCGGGTACCGCGGGTACCGCGGGTCAGCGCAACCTGCGACCGCCATTTCTTGAAGGCTCCCCCCGCCGACTGCTCGTCGGCCCTCGTCCTCGGCCCCCTTCGCCTTTCGAGCCCTCGTGCTTAGCGAAGCAAAAAAAACTTGGTTTGCAGCAAGGCCATGCGCAAGCAGCATGCAGCTTTTGCAAGCACGAAGCTCCTTTTGCAAATCCAGATCACTGACCTCTCTGCGAAAAGGTGGTCAAGCATCTGTACAAGGCAATTATCAGGTTCGTGGTGCACACAATGATGCTTTGTCATTGCCCTCCATGTGGGCAAGGAAGGCTGGTTGCTCCCTTCACCACAGCTGGAAGATTGCTGCTGGGATCAGAACTGATGCTCGGCAAAGAATTGCAGCCGCCGAGGTCTGCAGTCCACAGGATCGCAATGAGATGAGATGAGATGGAATGCTGTGTTCACGAACGGAAACTAACGAGGATTCCAACCAGGCCCAGGCACGGTGCCCCCATCCGTGGTCGTCGTAGAGGCGGTCGTCGTATCTACGGTTGTCGTAGACGATGTAGTTGCATTCGGATCAGTGGTTGTTGTCGTCGTGTTCAAGACCTCAGTCCATGGCATGGAAACCTACTCACGAGAAATGGAAACTGTTTAACAGAAAGTGTTGTGTGCTCCAAGAGGTGTGTGCTCCCTTGAGGTTTGAGGCTCTACCATGTTGCCGAAGAGGTACCATGGAAGAGACCATCACCTCTTCGGCGTACCACCTCGGCTCTCACCCTGGATTCAAGAAACCACATGAATGGACCACACTGAAGCTTTTTCCTGTTCTCCTCCTTTCTAAGACTCTAAGAAGCAATGCTTTCCGAGAAAGATACATCTGAATCAGAACCATGACGAAGTCTGTTCACACGCTGAACAGCTTGGTCCAAGAAGCATCTCATCGATGCTGCCACCGGCACCACACAGAGCACGGAACGTGACCTCAGGCTCCGCATCCTCAACACCACGAGACATACCCATCCTACGGCACCACAAACCGGAACCAAGAAACAGAAGCCCTGCAGCCCTGCACCTCCTCGAAGGCTCAAGGGCTCCCTGGGAAGTTCTAGGACTCGCGCTCCGCGAGACAACCTAAAAAAGACGCTCCAGGCTCGATTGCTAAGGTAGAAGAGCTGGAAATCACAGTTGGACCAGAAGTGCCAATCCAATCTTTGTTGAGAATGAGCTGAAGCTGCAGATCCAACTCTCCTCCCGTTTCAATCTCAGCCAAGCCGCATCACCAGAGCTTGGTGCCGTCCACGCATGTTGCATGCTCGTGGCCTTCCCCTGATATGAAGACTAGCAGGGCACGTCATAGAACCCAACAGCTTCGTTTTGAAGTGGCGTTAGACCACGATTGATGCTGGATTGGTGACAGCACTCCTTATTATTGGTGTGGATCAGCGATGCTTGGACACACTCTAGAAACTGTCCAACATCAGTGCCCGCAAGACCCTAGCACATGATCCCCACCGTAGTGTCAGAGACCATGCCGTTGCTGAAAGTGCCACCGTTGGACACCAGCTTCTGTCCTGAGTCGACCAGGGATCTGCAGTTGTGTGCGTGGGGCGATGCAATCGTGTACTTACCAACTCAAGCTCCATACCTTCGCGCCTATAGTGGGGCAGACGCGGGTGGAACAACGAGTTGTCCTGGTAATCTAGAACATCTATTCCAAGTCTTTGCCTCAAAAGTGCACAGTTCCGATGCTGACTCGCGAAGCAGCGGAAGCAAAGACAAGACAGAAGCTGAATGCTTCCAGAAACCAAACGGCCAAGCGACCCAGTGCTGTGGTCGAGGTGACTGTCACCATGTACCTTCGACAACAACCGAGGGGTCCGAGTATCCCACTCCCGCCTTGAGGACTGTGTCAGCAGACGTCTTTCTCGGATCTTCGATCCCGGCGCCCAGCTTCAAGCCACAAGAGGCATCCGGCTTCATGTCTCAACAAGGATCCTGCGTTGAAAGTTGGAAAGCCGCAACTCCAAAGCAGGTAAGAAGTAGTGTGTAGTGCAGAGCTTGGCAACTAAAGTGTCGGTTGACGAATGTTGATCTGGTGTGGTAAATGTGAAGAATCCTGCTGCAAGTCGAGTCAAGTTCCCCGTGCCCTGATGCCCAGCAGCTGAAACCCAAACCCGAAATTCATCTACACTCAACCGAAGAGTCAAAACCTGTATCGTGAAGCCAGCTGTAATGCCGTTTCGGACGATAAACCTACACTGCATTGTCGTGGCTGCTAATTGGCACTTGAACTTGCAAAAATCGACATCCGGCGAACTAGGACTTGGGAGGTGCGCAACGCGTCGCTTGTGTTGAGACACGGTGCGACCCTCCAGCGGTGTAGCCCTCGGTCGGCACATCTGTGGCAATCTTGCACGTGTCGCCCGACGTAGCTCCTTCACGGGCGGGCACAATGCACAAACCATCGCAATGCAGCTCGGCGAAAACTCAAGGCATGCTGCAAACCAGAAACACAACTCAACCGGAATTTTTCGCTCCACATGGTTGGAAACACACAGCGTAAGCTCCAAAACCCAGGCCCTGCCGGCGTGCCTACGTTTGCGATACCCATGTAGGTGAAAGAGCTTCCAGGTGTGTAGCCGCCCATACATGCGAAGTCGCAGCTCATGGACCCCGGGTATGCAGCCGCCTGGCAGAGCGCCACGGAATCGCCACAAGTTTGACCAACACGTTCGCAGTGCCTGGACCAACAAGGACAGAAGCCCTCCACATCGCAAGAACACCATGGCACCACACACCTTGGCTGCGGCACTATGGCAGGTAATATGCCAGCAAGCTGACCAAATGTCAACCAACATGGAGACAACTAATGCGAAGCAAAACCATGTTTCACAATACAACCATACAAATCACAAATCTACAAATCCGGTTGATTCCAAACACACCACCCGCGAAGCATGCAATTTCCCATGCAAAGCGGGTATGTCCACGAGTCATAACTTCTTCACACCTTGTCAAGCTGCGCGATTCTTCGCGGATTCGGCAAAGGATCCCAACTTGGTAAGCCAAAGGCTGAAGATCGGGGCTGAAAAATTGTTCCCTGCAAGAAAAACTAACGTCGTGAAGCAGAATACCGTCTGCAGGTCACACACTCTGGCTTGAACTGCACCGACTCTTCAAGCGTCGCAGGGTTGGAAGAATTTTGACAACGGCGGCAACACCTCTACCAGTCGACTGCAGCAGCTCCCTAGAGAAACAACACAAACAGACAGACAAACAAACACACAAAACAGCAATAAAACAGGGTGCTCAGCTCAACGAGGTCACCCCCCAACAAAGTGCAAGCGCCTTGCGGCTTGTCTAGCAGCTCCCCAAACTGTTTTCAGCTAAAAGGACGGGAAACTGCGGCGAGCACTCAGTCAGCAACAGCCGTTCAATTCCAGCTAGTCTTACTGGGCTCAACAGTTGACCAGGGGTAAGAAGGAAACGTACCTCCAAGACAAAGGGTGGAGTCCAAAACAAAACCGGAGTCCCGTCGGACAACGGACAGTCCCTTTACACCTATTCCTTCGCAGCTGCGCACACTAGAGTCCACAACTCCAGGCGAAGCCAACCCACACTTAGTGAGAAGCTGACAGGGCAAACTCCTCAACCCAGAGCTTCCAAAGATGCTTAAATAATTTTTAGATATCTTTAATCATCTTGATTAAACACTATAGTGTCTATTTAAGCATGGTATGTAAATGGCAAAAACAATGCTTAATTAAGAAATGTTATTTTCTGTATATGCATCCCAATTATATACATGCATGCGGACGATCGACTGCACGTGTTTTTTCCTCCCAAGGATCACGTGCCGATCTCGATTCGAGGAACTTTATTAGCTGCCAGGAATCGTCTGAGAACTTGACAAGAAACAGCATTCATCGAAAACTTGCCACCACGCCGTCTGCCCAGCAATGCTAGGGTATGCCCATAGCTCTCATCCCTGTAGGTCCAGGTCTTGCTAGGGTTCACCTCGCCCCTGGCCAATTCGAACAGCTGATGGGCTTTAGGTTTAACCCTGAAGAGCGTGTCCACTTCGAAGTAAGTCTCGAGACTGCCCCAGAGTAAAAGAAACTTCTGAGAAGAAACTCTGAAGACTTCCTTGTCCCAAGCTGCAGTGCTGAGACAGGCATATATGGACTGCAAAGCTTCTGTGCCATGCAACATCGCCTGTTCAGCAGGCTTTGCTGGCGACAAATACTTTGTAGCCAATTCCATGGCAGCACCGACGAGTGCTCGAGCTTCCCCTGCTTTGGCTCTCAACTTGGGGGATTTGATCTTGCCTCGATCCTCTTCACGAAACATGGTGGGAAGGAGCTTCGGCAATCGTTCTTGGACCCCAATTCTGTCGTAGTATGCCTTGATGTCTTGGTACAGCTTGGCACATCGGATGAGTTTGCTCAGGCCTCGGATCTTCTCACTCTGTAAGTAAAACAGCAAAGACCCAAGCCAGTCGGATGTTACTCCGAGGTCGCAAGCGTGTAAAAAGTCCATCTTGCAGCAAGCCGTATTGAATCCTGGGCAAGAAAATAATCTCGACACCAATTTATTCTGCTGCCTCTGGCGCATGAAGAAGTCCATGCTGGAAATGACAGGGTACCTGAGGCAAAGGCAACTGCCAGGAGTAAGCGATCGACTTCAACTGTCTAGCATGCCTCACACGTCGAAATTAAAAGACAATTCTTTCCTGGTGGCGATATTTCGAACCGGTTAATTGACTCCTTAAGTCGACTGTATCATGCTAGGGTACGCCAAAAGATATAAAACTTTGAATCTATCAATCCCAGATGCTTGGCGAAAGTCTGAGTATCAATTTTTTTCAAATCAGCTCGGGGGCACATACACCGCCAACAGATAAACCCTGCCTTTCGCCCAAACCTTCGTAGGGGCAAGCACTTTGTTCAACTCCTTGAGAGCCTTCTCGCACTTGCTCTTTTCGAGCTGCACCTCCTCGACCTTTTCGTTTCGTTGAAAAACCCAGCCGCCCTGTCCCACGTCGCCGGCCACCTGGCCAAGACGGTGTTCCAGTGGTTTCGCTCTTTCGAGCTTGAAGTTTCCAGATCCCCCAGTGCGATCTTCGACACCGCATGCTGCGGGTCTGCTTGAACCTCGCGGTTTGCGTTGACCAGGCTTGCCAGCATCGTCGTGACTTTGGCGGCGGAGCTGTCGGCATTCACTGCCTTTCTCAAGCCTTGCACGGCCTTCTTGTAGAGATCGCCTTCCTCAGGCTGCTCCTCCTCCGGCTTATCCTCCTCGAGCTGCGGCGGCCTGTCACCAGAGCTTCCGGCCTTTCCGGCCTTGCTGTTTCCCAGCATCAACGGCCGGACAGAGTTCTCGATTTTCAGGGGCCTCTTCGACCTTCCGGAAAGCTCATCTTCGAGCTCCCCGACCTTCTCCGAGGTCTTCGTGGTCGACGAGTGCTTCGTCGTCGTCTCTTTGTGCAATTCCTTGCTGTACCAGTACTGTAGCACACCTTGCTTTGCCCAAGCTTCCACTTCATGCTTCCGACTCGGAAGCCCTTCAACCGCTGCCTTGCACAGGCTTTCGAAGGAAGGAACCGAGGGGTCTGCTCCTTCAAGCTTGCCGATTTGCCACATGGTCATCCACCCAGTGACCGCCTTGTGCAGGCTGCTCTGCTTTTGCAAGCTCTTCTTGTGCACTTCCTTCTGGCTTACCTCTGGGTCCAGAAGGAACACTTCGTAGTAGAAAGTCCTTTTTTCGGACTGGGTCTTGCAGTTCTCCCACTGGCCGCGAAGGTTCGCTCCCTTTCCTGCCTTCTTCAGGCTGCCCAGCTGGTAGCGAAGGTCCTTCCAAGCATTCCTGGAAGGAGCCGGGTGGGCCTTGGCCTTTGCCTTTGCAGGCTGCCCTGCCTTGGCAGGCGGTGGTGTAGGTGTTGCCTTTGCAGGCTGTGGAGGCGGTGGCTTGGGACTTCCCAGCTTCGGGCCGGGAGAGCTTGGCTCTCCCGGCAAGGCCTTGGCCGGAGAGTTTGCCTTTGCAGGCTTCGGCTTCTTCGGCGGTGTCTCGGGCTCCTTCTTCACCGAAGCGGGCCTTTTCTTGGGGGCCATTGCCCTAGATCCTAAAGCTTAAGCTATTTGGTTCAGCTACCGGACCAAAGTGCTTTAACTCAAGCTGTGCATGTTCAGCCTACCGGACCAAAGTGCTTTAACTCAAGCTGTGCATGTTTTTTTTTCTGGGCTTCTCGAGCCTGGTACATCATGCACACACATGCACAGATTTAGTGTTTGAACAACTCTAAAAAGTTTTAGCCTATTTTTTTAGATTGTTTAGGATTTGTGGTTTTAAATGGAATTAGGGTTTTGGCCTAGGGTTTCAAGGTTTTAACATAGCGATCAGGGTTCAGGGGGTTTGCTTTTAGAGATTATAGGGTTCAGGTGTTAGTTTTGGGGCTTTGGGGTTTTAGGGTGTGGGTGTTGGTGGTGTTGGTGGTGATGGTGGTGGTGGTGGTAATGGTAGTGCATGGTGATGATGTAGTGATGGTGGTGATGATGGTGGTGGTGGTGGTGAAGCTGGCGATGGTGGTGGGCTGCTGGGTGTTGTTGGGGGATGGGTGGTGGGTGGTGGGTGGATGGAGTGGGTGAATGATTTGTGTGCATGATGCTCAGTTGGTGGATGGTGGATGATGCTGGTGGGGGGTGGTGGGTGCTGGGTGGTGGGCTGGGTGGTGGGTGCTGGGTGGTGGGTGCTGGGTGGTGGGTGGTAACGTTGGGGGGTGGTGGGTGGTGGGTGCTGGGTCGGTGGTGGGTGCTGGCTTGGTGGTGGTGGTGGTGGTGGTGGTGGTGGGGGGTGGTGATGGCAGCGATGGGGTGTGGGGGTGTGTGGTGGCTTGGTGGTTGGTGGTGGTTTGTGGTAGTGGTGGTGGTGGTGGTGGTGGTGGTCTGGTGGTGTGGTGTCTGGTGGGGGGCTGCTGGGGGGCTAGCTGGTGGGTGGTGGGGGTTGGTGGGGTTGTGCCTGTTGGGGTGGTGGGGCAGGGCCCGGTTGTGCCCAGCGCCAAATTTCGGCTGCTGGACGGCTGCCAGGCAAGCCGCCAGCAAAATTCGTACAAAAAAGTACGAATTCGTACTTTTGAAATTCGTACTTTTTTGTACGAATCCTTTTTAAAAGGGGTTAGAATCTTTCGTACTTTTTTGTACGAATTTTCAAAAATACGAATTTCGTACTTTTTTGTACGAACCTGCTTTGGTAGAGGTCCGGAAGGGAAAATCGGCGCATTGGTGGTGGGTGGTGGTGGGTGGTGGATGGCGGATGGGGGTGGTGGATGGTGGTGGTGGGTGGCGGGTAGTGGGGATGGTGGCTTGTGTGGTGGTGGGTGGTGGGGTGGTGGGTGGCGGGTGGTGGGGATGGTGGCAGGTGTGGTGGTGGGTGGTGGGCGGTGAGTGGTGAGTGCTGGTAGGGGATTTCGGGTTTAGGGGTTTAGGGGTTTCGGGTTTAGGGGCTTCGGGGTTTCGGGTTAAGGGGTTTATGGGTTTAGGGGACAGGGGGTCTAGGTCAAAGGTTTTTAAAGTTGTGGTCTTGGGTTCTAAGGTTAGGGGCTGAAAGGTTTAGGGGTACCGGGTTCTGGGTTTAGGGGCTGAGGTTTCTGTTTAGGATTGAGGGTTTGGGGTTTAAGTGTTATAAGGTTTTAAAACCACTAAACCCCAAACCCTTAACACCTAAACCCTAAAGCCCAAACCATTAGACCCTAAACCATTAGCCCCCTAAACCCCTAAACCCGAAACCCCCTAAGCCACTAAACCCAAACCCTTGACCCCTTAACCCTAAAACCCGAAACATCAACCCCTAAACCATTACCCTTAAACCCGAAACCCCTAAACCCCTAAACCCGAAACCCCCTAAGCCACTAAACCCCAAACCCTTAACCCCTAAACCCTAAAGCCCGAACCATTAACCCCTAAACCATTAACCCCTAAACCCGAAGCCCCTAAACCCCTAAACCCGAAACCTCCTAAGCCATTAAACCCCAAACCCTCAACCCCTAAACCCTAAAGCCCGGACCATTAACCATTAAACCATTAACCCCTAAACCCCTAAACCCGAAGCCCCTAAACCCCTAAACCCGAAACCGCCTAAGCCATGCACTAAACCCCAAACCCTTAACCCCTAAACCCTAAAGCCCGAAGCATTAACCCCTAAACCTCTAAACCCGAAGCCCCTAAACCCCTAAACCCGAAACCCCCTAAGCCACTAAACCCCAAACCCTTGACCCCTAAACCCTAAAGCCCGAACCATGAACCCCTAAACCATTAACCCTTAAACCCGAAGCCCCTAAACCCCTAAACCCGAGACCCCCTAAGCCACTCAACCCCAAACCCTTAACCCTTAAACCCTAAAGCTAGAACCATTAACACCTAAACCATTAACCCCTAAACCCCAAGCCACCGAAACCAAGGCTCTCCCAGCTTTTTCTGCTGCCTGCGAGCAGCCGTCAGCAGGATTCTTTGACCCTTTGCCCTGTTCGGGCTTGTGCTGCCCTGCTCGGGCTTGAGTTATTGTACCCTTTGCCCTGTTCGGGCTTGTGCTGCCCTGCTCGGGCTTCAGTTGTAGTCGGGCTCTTCTTTCACCCTCGTCTTGCCCTCTTCGGGCTTGTCGTCGTCATTGTCCTTTTGGCCCTGCTCGGGCTGTGGTTCGTTGCAAGTGTCGTCGTCGCCTTGTTCAGGCTTCTCCTCTTTTTCATCATCCTCTTCTTTTTCTTCTTTTTTTTCTTCTACCTTTGCGGCTGAGCCGCTAGCTGTTGGATCTGAGCCTTGTGCAGGCTGATCTGCAAATGAGCCTTGTGCAGGCTCAGTTGAGCCTTGTGCAGGCTTGCTGGAATCCTTGGCCAAAATGCTCGCCGCTTTGCTGACGGCACCTGGCGGATCCCGGGTAGCAGCCTTTGCTGCCGCCTTGCCTTTTGCAGGCTGTGGAGGGGATTTGCCCTTGCCTTTTGCAGGCTCTGGAGGGGATTTGCCCTTGCCTTTTGCAGGCTCTGGAGGGGGGTGGCTGCCAGCTGCAGCCGAAGAACTGGAGGAAGTGCCTTCTGCAGGCTGCCCCAGGCCTAGGTCCAGATAGAGCTGTTTCAGCTCTTTCTTTTTGGCCATGATAGTCTTCCACAGCTCGTCCCGCTGCATTTTCGATTTGCTCTTTTCGAGCTCTTCTTCCAGGTAGTTCAACTGGATCTGCAAGTGGCGGCGGATGTCGTTTTTTTTCTGTGACATTTCTGTCTTTCGGGGCCGGAGCTCCGGAGGCACTTCCCGGCCTTCTCGTAGCAACTTCCGTCGCTCCAGCCGCCGACACTGACTGAGGTAGCCTCTGCTGACCTTCCAGGTCGAGCTTTCCTCGTCAGTGTCGATCTCGTCGGGGTCCTTTTCGGACTTGTCCTTTTCGGACTTCATTTTTCCTTTGTAATAGTCCTGTTCGGACTTGTGCTGGCTGGCAAAGGACCAATCTCCCCATGTGCTCTGGTCCTGCCACGGACTCGGCTGAGTCCATTCTTGCCATTCCGTCCAGCCCCAACTTTGCCATTCCTGGCTCCCGCCCCAGTTTTGCCAGCTGCCTTGTGCAGGCTCCCAGGAACTGCTGCTGGCTTGCCAGCCATGGCTCCCCCACTGATCGTGGGTCGAGTATCGGACGGGGTCACCGTCGTCGTCGGTGTCGTCCTGCCATCGCTGGCTTCTGCACTCGAACTTGACTTCTTGGCCTCTTCGGCCTTTTTTGCCTTCTTCAGGCTCTGCCTCCTCCGTGGGTGTATAGTTCGTATACGTGTAGGAATATTCTTCCTTCGGCTCTTTTTTCGGAGGCTGGCTAGTTGCTCTGTTCGAGCTTTTTGCTTTGTTCCTGCTCTTGGCTCTTTGCGAGCTGCCCCGCTTGTTGGCTTTCGCCTTCGGCCTGGCGCCGATCGGGATCTCTTTTGCCGCATACGGGGTTTCGACATCCCGTTGCCAGCATGCCCTATTCGGGCTCCAGAAAGGCTTTTGCAGGCTCGCCCCATTCCATCCGGACTCTAACAGGTACCGGAGGATCTCGGGGCTGGTTTTCATCACCCTCTCCAAAGTTCTCGCCAGGAGGCCAAGTCCTCTCGGACTAGCACATAGCACTTGTTGAGCTGGTGGTAACGGACCCTCCACCAGGGAAGGCCCGCACCACCGGCCGCCTTCTTCAGGCTCAGCACCAGGAACACCAAGAAAAAAAACGCCTTATTCAGGCTTGCCATGGCCATGGCTCTTCTAGCTAGGCTTCAAGCTTCCTAAAGTACTAGCTTTCTTCAAGCTACACTACTCACTAGCTTAGGAGCTCCGACCAGAGGCCTCGGCTCTTTAAAGGGTTTAGGTACGAGGCTTACAGGGCTACTGCTTTCTACAAGCTTCTAGTGTGGTGCAGAACTACCCTATACAGGGCTAGCTACTAGCTGCTTTCTACAAGCTCCTAGTGTGGGGCAGAACTACCCTACAGGGCTACTGCTTTCTACAAGCTCCTAGTGTGGGCCAGAACTAGAGCTCCTAAAGTGCGGGGCACCCTACAGGGCTACTGCTTTCTACAAGCTCCTAGAGTACTCTACCAGTGCTGTCTGCGAGCTGTCTGTGTGTGTGTGTGCTGTCTGCCAGCTAGCTCCTGCAGTGCTAGGTTGCTGCTGCTGCTGCTGCATGCTCGAGCCACAAATATTAAGAGTGCACAGAAGCTGTTTGCCATTGCAGGCTAGGCTCAGCTAAAACTTAACATCGCTCGATCATGCCTTGCTCGTTTTTTGTTTACACTTTGAAAGCTTCAGTCCTTAAGCCTTTTGCAGGCTGCCCTAAACCTCTCCTCTTCGCTTCGCCTTCTGCAGGCTGTGCTTCTCAGACCTCCCTTCAGTCCTTGCCTTCTGCAGGCTTTCCTTCTCAAACCTCCCTTCAGTCCTTCGCCTTCTGCAGGCTCTCCTCTTCCGGTTCTCCTTCTGCCGCCTCTGCCTTTGCAGGCTCTCCTTTTGCCGCCTCTGCCTTTGCAGGCTCTTCTTTTGCCGCCTCTGCCTTTGCAGGCTTTCCTTCTGCTGCTTCTGCCTTTGCAGGCTCTCCTCTCTCTCTGCTAAGCAGATCCTCCTTGAACTTCAACAAGGAGTCTCTGTCAACCTCTTCGGTCTGGAGCTTCTGCAGCAGCAAGTCCATGACTCTGGACTCCTTCTCGCCTTTTTCAAGGTTCACGTTGACCAAAGATTTTTCTTTGCCATCGCTGGCTTTGAACGTGATGTAAGCCTTGGCCGAGGCTTTAGTCACTTTCACGAGACCGTGAGAAACGGTCTCGTGCCATACCTTGCCTAGATGGACACAGCAGAGCTTGCCTCAGCCGATGCATCAGCCCTGGCGCCCTGCCTTGGCCTTGAATCCCTTAAGCCCTGACCCGGCGACCTGCAGGCCACATGAGTGCGCGCCGCCCTCGACAGATTTTTTCAGGCTCGGCTTCTTCAGCACCTTGTCTTTGCCTTTTGCAGGCTGCTTGGCTTTTGCAGCCTTCTTTGCCATCGCTGGCTTCTTCTGGAGCAGCACACCTGCCGCCAGCACACCCTTGCTGGATGCTGTGATAGCCGTGGTCGAGAGACTGATTACATCGGCATCTACGGCATTTGCTGCCTGCCCCACAAAGATTATGGGGGATTTTGTGTTAAGCCTTCGCAGGCTGCCCTTAGTGCTTGTCTGCGAGTCCTCTGCGGACTCCACAGTACTGCTCTTGGCGGCTGGTCCTCTCGGACTGGACTCCACAGTACTGCTCTTGGCGGCTGGTCCTCTCGGACTCGTGCTCCGTCGGGAAGTACTCGTTTGTCCTTTCGGACTGCTGCCACCGGACCCAAACAGAGCCACCGTGAGATCCCGAATGATCGGGTGAGTTCTGTCACCCGTCTTTTGGTTCCGGTGCTTGCGATTCAGCCATTTTCTGGCTTCCGCAACACCATTTATCATGGCATTCATGTCGCCTTCGGGTAGGCGAGGAAAAGCGCCTTTCCAGGCTGCCCTAGACTGCGGTTTGCTACAGCCCATCGGGCACCACAGCTTCAAGAACGAAGCATGCTTTATACAAGCTTCCTCCGGATCTGACGGCCAATCTGCCTTTGCAGGCTGCCTCGTGAAGAACCCTTTCAGGACGGCTTTTCCTTGCTCTTTGCTATCGCTAGCTGCCTTTCCTTGCAAGTCTCCATCGCTCGCTGCCATGTCCTACAACTATTGTTGACTATATTTGATATCGCTAGCTGCCGGCTGGCTATGCTATAATATATTGCTGGGCCACGGACCGGCCGCTACAAGTAGTGGTTTTCTCAGACGCATGTGATGATGCAGCCTATAGCCTGCTGTCAGAATGTCGTGCTTCCTACCACGAATTCGTACAGATAGCAGCTGCAGAATACATTATGTATATATATATATATATATATATATGATATGGTTTATATGATTATATGCTGAAAAACGAGCTGTAAGATATGGTAGAAGCTCCAAAATGGAGCTTCCAAAACGAGCTTCTAGGAAAGTAGAAGCTCCAAAAGAAGCTCCAAAATGGAGCTTCCAGAATAAGCTTCCAGGAAGCGCTTCTTGAAATTCCTAGAAGCGCTTCTTGAAGAGCCAAAGCCATAAAATCCTAGAAGCTCGGTTTTTGGCTAGAAGCTTCAAAATGAAGCTGGCAGCTCCTTTCTAGAAGCTCCAAAACGAAGCTGCCAGCTTGAAAACGAAGCTGCCAGCTGCAAAACGGAGCTTCCAAACGGAGCTTCTAAAACACAGAAGCTCCGTTTTGGAGCTGGCAGCTGCAAAACGAAGCTTCTCGGAAGCCTAGGGAAGTGGGCCCGTGGAAGGCGCTTCAGAATCTGAGTTTGCTTCAGCAGCGGTTCGTTGAGTCCGCCGCCGTGGCCGCTCAGCGATTGGATGTGTCCAGCGTCAGGCACATATTTCCAAGGCAATCGAGAAGAACTGGAAAACCAGGTGTGGGCCCACAATGTTTGGAGCTTTCACGATCTCATTACATTCATTACATTGAGGTCTGGGGCCGACCTTGTTGTCGTCGGCGACATGCTGCGCAACACGCAGGTGTCCCGCCCAAATGGTAAGGCCAAGTGAGCCGGCCCGGCTGTGGTTGAGCAGGCTCAACGGTTGTGGCGCGCCGGCGAGCCGTGCAAGGGTTGTCGGGAGGCCGTTGCTCAGATGTGATGATGGCTTCTTCGGGGCCTGCGCGGTTGGTTCAAGCCCCAGCAGATGTTCGCGACACTTGTGCTTGAAAAGCTTTTCTTGGCCCTTTGTCGTGGAGACTCACATACATTAGGTCTTGGTAGGCTCATCGATCCTTTGCTGTCAATGCTGTACATGACTGTACATAGTAGTATATTAGCCATATTAGTATAGACTAATATATGTACAGCGAAGCCGACAGAAGTTTGCACGTGAGACCTCAGTTACATAAAGGATTTCAATTAGGTTCATCAGCAATGTGAAAGCATTCTTGTCTTGCCGTGCGTGCTCTCCAAAACACAGGAGTGCTGTCGACGGTGCAGTTCACCCCCTTCCCTTTGCATTAATCTTTTGTAAATGCTCAAAGGGTGAATCTCTCCCCTCATACGGGTTTCCGATGGTTTCCGGTGTGGTTTCCGATGGTTTCCTTGGTTTCCTATGGGTTTCCCATGGGTTTCCTGCGGTTTCCTTCAGGTTTCCGAGCGTTTTCCACACCTTAATTGTGGGCTGCTTTGGTTTCCCATGATTTTCTAGATAGATATGCTCCTCAAAAGTGAGTTTGTTCCTTGCCGATGGTTTACTGTGGGTTTTTCCTGCGTTTTCCACATGTTTGTCATGGCCTGCTATGGTTTCCCATGAGTTCTAGATAGATATGCTCCTCAAAAGTGAATCTGTTCCCTCGTAAGGGTTTCTGAAAGTTTCCGGTCTGGTTTCCGATGGTTTCCTGGGGTTTCCTATGGGTTCCCCACAGATTTCCTGCGACGCCGGATCTTGGCAATGCTTTGCATGGCTCGTGTAGTCATGACTGCGTTCGGAGCAGGCCAAGACATAATCGAAGTTTCTGAAGCAGGCGGCGAGGTTCAGATTCTGTAGTCACTGTAGTGCTTCCAACAAGCCCACTTCTGGGTCCGGAAATTGTCAGGATTGTGGTGGCTGTTGTGAAGGGGCCTCCAGAGTGCCGGGAGATCTTCTTTAGTTTGTTGATTTTCATAGCTCAGCTACACCATATCGGTGCTGTCGTTGCCTCAGAATCTGCAGCAGATCAAGATTCTCAAGCTGTAGTCGCTGTTGTGGCTGCTTAAAGAAGAGGAGAAGTTGTGACTTTCACAACACCTGTTGGCGGCCAATCTTTGAAGTTCTTTGTGAATTGAGAATTCAATAAAAGGGCAAAGTTCCGGGTAAAGAGCGGGGCCAAAAACGGGTCCAGAATTCGGACCCGTTTTTGGAGCCATCTAATATTGGCACAATTCTCGCAGGTTCAGAAAACGGCCCCATTTTCGGGGCCGCATGTGTTCGCGGGGAACCACTTTCGAGCTCCTTGTCGCAATCGCAAAAATCTGGACGCGGATCAAGGAATACCGTCCAATGTCACCAGTTGGTCAGCAAGATGCAGCTGGATAATTCAAAAATGTAGCACCCAGTCACTGCTTGTCTTGAACACATCTTCGGTTCAAAAAATCAAATTGCGGCATGTGTTCTTGCCAAGTGCAGGATTCGCTGCAGGATGCTGCAGCAACTCTGGAGGCCCCTGCGCAGCAGTCACCAAAATCCTGACAATTTCCGGACCCAGAAGTGGGCCCGTGGAAGGCGCTTCAGAATCTGAGTTTGCTTCAGCAGCGGCTCGTTGAGTCCGCCGCCGTGGCTGTGGCCGCTCAGCGATTGGATGTGTCCAGCGTCAGGCACATATTTCCAAGGCAATCGAGAAGAACTGGAAAACCAGGTGTGGGCCCACAATGTTTGGAGCTTTCACGAGGTTTTCTCATTACATTCATTACATTGAGGTCTGGGGCCGACCTTGTTGTCGTCGGCGACATGCTGCGCAACACGCAGGTGTCCCGCCCAAATGGTAAGGCCAAGTGAGCCGGCCCGGCTGTGGTTGAGAGGCTCAACGGTTGTGGCGCGCCGGCGAGCCGTGCAAGGGTTGTCGGGAGGCCGTTGCTCACATGTGATGATAGCTTCGGGGCCTGCGCGGTTGGTTCAAGCCCCAGCAGATGTTCGCGACACTTGCGCTTGAAAAGCTTTTCTTGGCCCTTTGTCGTGGAGACTCACATACATTAGGTCTTGGTAGGCTCATCGATCCTTTGCTGTCAATGCTGTACATGACTGTACATAGTAGTATATTAGCCATATTAGTATAGACTAATATATGTACAGCGAAGCCGACAGAAGTTTGCACGTGAGACCTCAGTTACATAAAGGATTTCAATTAGGTTCATCAGCAATGTGAAAGCATTCTTGTCTTGCCGTGCGTGCTCTCCAAAACACAGGTCCGGAAGAACTTGTTCACCCTTTGGGCACGAGTGGAAGTATAATACTGCGATTGGCTGGGGTGATGAAGTGTGGAGTGCTGTCGACGGTGCAGTTCACCCCCTTCCCTTTGCATTAATCTTTTGTAAATGCTCAAAGGGTGAATCTGTCCCCTCATAGGGGTTTCCGATGGTTTCCGGTCTGGTTTCCGATGGTTTCCTTGGTTTCCTATGGGTTTCCCATGGGTTTCCTGCGGTTTCCTTCAGGTTTCCGAGCGTTTTCCACACCTTAATTGTGGGCTGCTTTGGTTTCCCATGATTTTCTAGATAGATATGCTCCTCAAAAGTGAGTTTGTTCCTCGTACGGGGTTTCTGATGGTTTCCGGTCTGGTTGCCGATGGTTTACTGTGGGTTTTTCCTGCGTTTTCCACATGTTTGTCATGGCCTGCTATGGTTTCCCATGAATTCTAGATAGATATGCTCCTCAAAAGTGAATCTGTTCCCTCGTAAGGGTTTCTGAAAGTTTCCGGTCTGGTTTCCGATGGTTTCCTGGGGTTTCCTATGGGTTCCCCACAGATTTCCTGCGACGCCGGATCTTGGCAATGCTTTGCATGGCTCGTGTAGTCATGACTGCGTTCGGAGCAGGCCAAGACATAATCGAAGTTTCTGAAGCAGGCGGCGAGGTTCAGATTCTGTAGTCACTGTAGTGCTTCCAACAAGCCCACTTCTGGGTCCGGAAATTGTCAGGATTGTGGTGGCTGTTGTGAAGGGGCCTCCAGAGTATTCGTTTTTAACATCGAAATGTTCCACACAGCGTTTTGCGCTACGGCTCGTCTTAATGCCGTCCTTGTGCCATGTAATGAAGAGGTTCTTGTTTGTTGTTCCTAAGAACACTCCTCTCAACCAAATAGGGTCGTCTTTCCTGTTGCCACGTGTTTCTGAACGATTGGTTGAAACCAAAAGTGATTCGCCAAATTCGGCAAGTTGGCCCTCGTAAGGGCGCCCGGCAATCCACTCGTAGGGCGTCATTCCTGTACCTGTGTGGCGATGGTACCTGTTCAAGGTCCACGCTGCATGCCTTGAAAGCCCAACTGAAGATTGGATGGGTGTGAGCAATGTATGTTCCTGTTCTGTGTTCCAGGTGCCTGATCAAGGTAGTTCCTTGTCGCCTAATGGTTTGAATTGCTCTCTCTGCCATGCCGTTGGTTTCCTTCTGGCCACTGACCGCGTCCTGCAAAGTTGTTCCTAAACCTAAGGCTGCTCGCTGCTTCTGAATGACCTGCTTCAGCTTCATCATTGTCCCTTCGTTGTCGGCTTTCAAGTTGATGGCTCCATATCCTGGCTGGGTACTCAGGTAGGTGACTCCTTCGCAAAGGTGCTCTACAAGATCCTTTCCTTTAGATGCTGTAGGGATACAGACCATGTTCCTACTCCAAGAATCAACACACACAAGACTTACTGCTGCTGGTGCCTCATCATGACTTGTTCCTGTGAAACAGAAATCCATGCAGAAAGTTGGTCTCAAAGATCTTTCCTTCTCTGGGTTCTCACGAAGATGTGGAGACTCTTTTTCTTTGCACGCTACACATGTCCCCGCCTTGGATGACAATCGGTCCTGAATCAAGAGCGAGGACTCAGAACCTCCAAAAGTCCCAGAAGCTCAGTTGCTTGCAGGAACTGGACCGTGAGGCAATACTCACAGAGATCAACAGGCTCACAGAGATGAAAGCATTGGCAAGGGTTTGTTTTTGACTGGAGATTCAGATGGATGCGTAGCGGCGTAGAGCCAGGTTAGTGGCAGAGAATTTCACGGTGTAGAAATCAGCAGCGATACTTTCAGCCCAGCTTCGAGCGCATCATTGGTGAGACTTACCCTATCTTGGTGTCAAGGACGCATTTTTACAGGTACCGCAGAGAACTCATTGCGCGTGTCAATTCCCAAAGGAGTATGTGGATCTGTTTGGCGACCAAAACCCTACTTGTAGGAACGAAGGTTTGTTACTGTTTAGTTGTGACGTGCGTGGGGGGGGTGTGGGCTGAAGCGGGCTTGGGGGCACCCCGTTCGGGAGCCGGTCGCTGCAGTAAGTAATGTTGTAGGGCTTGTATGGTACGACCACTATGAGGCATTGCCATGTGGACTTCTTGGAATAGGGATGTATATTTTTGCCGGGCAACAGAAACTTCATTTGTTTTATGTTTTTTGGATTGAGAACTGTACTTTAGCCACCGATTATTTTGATTTCCCACACCAAGATGTAAAACTTTTTGACTTTGTCGCAGAACTTTAATTACTATTGGGCAGTTTGTTCCATGTGGCATGTCCCTGGTAGATTGATTTTCACTGTGCAGTGCATTAGGCGGTTGATCATGAGAGGTGCCTGCATGCACTGTGTTGCACGATAGATTTTTGCGTTTTGCCTGCATCGACTCATGTGACGCATGCCGCTTCAGTCTTGCATGTTGCCCGTATGAGGTCATGTGCAAGGGCTATGATGCATGAGCATTTGTTCTTGAAATCTTGCTGCCTGCATTACCATATCGCATGGTAGCGTATTTTGGTGTTTCTTTTTTCCTGCATCTGCATGAGCTCATGTGCAAGCGGCATCATGTGCATTCATGGCATTCTTGCATGCTGGCTTGAGTACTGTTATCACGGTGGCATTTTGCATGCCTCAGCTAGTGTGCCTGGTTCTGCTGCAACTTCTTTGCTGGCACCCTGTTGCGCCGTTGCGGAGTGCTGGCACGAGTTCAGGTGCAGTGTGTGTTGCCTTTGCGTTGTGGCTCAGGGGTCGCCGCGGCCGATTGCAGCTTGCTATGTAAGTGCTTTTGGGCCCAGGGGGTGCGGCTTGCTTGCGCACCTGGGATGATCCTGCTGCGCTGGATGTAGTGCGTGTGTGCACCGTGGAGGTACAGTATCTCAGTATCTCTATTGCCACTGCCACACTGCGCTATCGTTTGCAATGCTTAAGCTGCTTATACTGTCGCTTAGCGTAGCTATGTTTGCGCTGCTCAGACTACATGCTTTCGTTGCAGTCCCTGGCAAGCACTGGTCACTAGACACTACACGGTACTTCAAGCGCGTGGTGTCGACGGTTGCCGCATGTGCCACATGTGCAGTCATGCAGTCAGGTTTGCCGCAGTTTGCGTCTGTTGCAACACAAGCTTTTGCTCATGCTCATGAATCATGAATGCTCATGTTGACTCATGTTTGGTTGCCGCACGCGCCTCTGCTCGTAGCACTTCCAAAGTGTCACACTGTCACAATCAATCAACTACTTAGTTGGGCTGTAGCTTCGTTGCAAGCCACGGACTGTAGGTAGACGTATAGATTATAGGATTGCACAGGACCCTCACGTGTTTCAGTTTCATTGATTTCAATCACATAAGATAATCACATGCATGAGAGCATGCATTATGAAGTTCATTGAAGATCATGATTCATGACGCATTTTAAGCATTCATCGGGTAGGCTTTTGCTGACCGGTCTCCCTGTCTCACTCATGGCGGCCCATCCCGCCATTTCGTCAGTGTTATTTGCTCTCGGGCAAAAAGTTAGAACATCCAACGTTGGCGGGGTCATATCCAAGGCGGACTTGCTTGACGTGATCGTTGTATTTTGCGATTCGGAGGCATCGGCTTCGAATGCGGTTCAACGTACTCGTGAGGTGGTGCAACGTAGAGTGAATCGTTGGTTGAAGACGAACTCTCCGGAAAGAGCCGGCTATCTACACATTGTCGACGGTCTCCGGGCACCGCTCTCTGTGGAGTATTTTGGTCCTGATGTTGTGGTGGAGGTGCTCCGGCATTTCGGAGCCGTTATCACAGATGAGTCTCGAGGTGACTTTGTGCACAGGATGCAAGGGAGTGACAGTGCCACAGGAGAGGACATGGCAATTCATCTTGATCCTCACCCGGCTCCTGCTTGCCCAAATGCACCCATCAGTCGCATGGGTTCCATGGAATCCGAAGGGGCTGCTCGGACTGGCCGTGATGATGATGATGCTGAGAGTGGTGCTGCCGCTGCTGCTGCTGCCTCTTCTGGCACAGATGCAGTTGCGATGTTTGACCCTGAATTTCATCCTGTGCCTGCTGGTCCTGCCGTTGCAGCTGCAGAGGGAGAAGCGGCCGAAGATAATGTGCACAAAAGAAAAAAACGCAGGGTTAGGGGCAACAGTGATGGCAACACTCTTTGATGAGTACAAGCAGAAATATCAACATTATTCCCACGATGATCTTGTCAGAGAGGTCATGTTGCATGAGAAGAATTGCACCCAATTTCGAGAAGACAGCTTGGCCAAAGATGGGACCATACAGAATCTGCAGAAGAAGTTGAAGACTGCACAACAACAACTTCGGCGAATAACGAAGGCCAAGACGAGAGCGAAAGCAAGAGCAGCATCAGCAGCATCAGCATCCACAAAAAGGAGAGCCAAAGGACAGCGACAGCAGCATGAAAGCAACACCTTGCCAGACTACCTTCGGGCTAAGCAGAAGTTGGCGATCACGCGGACAGGCGCGGGTGAAGATGCTCCAGGTAGATACCTCACGGTCCCTAGTACGGTGGCCCTGGCTTTGAGACGGAACTTGAGCAACGTGTCCTGTGCTGACCTGGGGTTGGTAATTCTGGACGACGCTAGCAGGTGGAGTGTGTCTAGGTCAGAGGTAAGGGCTGGGGCAGCTGCCACGGCTTCAATGCGTGAGTGGCATGCAGGGATGCTCCAGGAGATGTTTCATCCAGATGGTGCAGAGGATTTCAATCTGTCTTTGCACATCGTGTCCCAAGATGCAACGAATTCTGGAATCTGGCAAAAGCGCAAGTTGATTGCTCTTTTGTGTCATTCTGCCTATTTGGTGTCGTTGCCGTCCAAATTCAGATGGTCCTGGCATGACATGTTTCGCGAAATTCGGGCCATTGCAGATGTGCAACCAGTGGAAGATGGAAGCGGCCAAGGCTCTGTTTCGATGACGACAAAAATGCTAAAGAGCATAAACTGCCCGACAGTGCATGACTTGGTTGCCAAGCATGCAGAGCTTAAAGCCGATGGTCAACAGCGTCAACAGCATCAACCCTCAGATGAGAAGCCCGCAGACGCAGATGCGAAGTTCCTTTGCGTAGAGTGGCAGCTGTAAGTCCGTAAGTAAGTTTTGCAATGTGTGTCGTGCGTTGATTTCGTGAGTTGACGTGTTTTTGTCTATCGGGAAACACGACAACATGACAACATACCCACTCCACATCTGCCCAAGTCCGGCCTGAGTCCTAAACCGAAGCCAAGACCTAGACAACCTAGATTGCCTAGTAGCCTAGACTGCATCCGCCTGTCTGTCTATGTTTATGTTGTCTGTACATTGCTGCTAAGGCGGGCTGACGACTCTGTCCAGTGGCCTGTCCATGTCTATGTCTTTGTGACAGACAGAGGACCAAATGAAGTTCTTGCGCGCAAGATATGGCAGTGTGTCAGCTCTGCATGTGAGCACGTGGTGGTGCTAGGAAGTGATTGCCTGGAGCATGCAGCTCATTTGGTCACAGTCAGCTCACTTAAGCTCGTTGACAAGCTCTTGCCATTGCAATTCGAAGGGAAAGGTCGTGCATGGAAGTACTTTTCATCGCTTGCGACTTTCTCCATCACCGTGCGGGATTCATCCAAAGACTTTTTCCAGATGTGGTGTCAAGAACACGGAGATTTGTCCGGTGTCAAGCACGCCAAAAGTCTTTGGCCGAAGTGCGTGGCAGGACGTTGGAATTCCTGCAGCGACGTTGAGCGTCGAATGCACGATTCTGGTGGGCAGGCTACGGTTTTACCGGTGATGCGACGACTCATGGGAGCCAAGCGCGAGGCGGCGCCAGCTAAAGAACACCAGAGCATCGACGAGATTGCTGTAGAGGAGACTGCTCATTACACCCAACAGATGGGCAGGTGGCGTGCCACCACCCTCAAATGCGTGGAGGACCCGTTGTGGTGGACAGTAGCTGAAGCTATGAGGATGGCACGTTCGCCTGCACTGCACCTCTCGGTTCCTCGCGGCTTGCAGTCTGCAGCATGCATTGTGACATTGTGTGGCTTATAAAGTCTTGTAGTGATCTGTGATCTGTGCGCAGACAGACAGACAAATACGAACAGATGCGCGCCCGCCCGCCCGCGCGCACGACACACACACACACACACACACACACACACACACACACACACACACACACACACACACACACACACACACACACACACACACACACACACACACACACACACACACACACACACACACACACACACACACACACACACACACACACACACACACACACACACACACACACACACACACACACACACACACACACACACACACACACACACACACACACACACACACACACACACACACACACACACACACACACACACACACACACACACACACACACACACACACACACACACACACACACACACACACACACACACACACACACACACACACACACACACACACACACACACACACACACACACACACACACACACACACACACACACACACACACACACACACACACACACACACACACACACACACACACACACACACTGATGGATTCGGCCAAGAGTACGAGTGCAAGAGGAAAAAGAGAGGCATGTTGTTCATGTTGCAAAAGCTTGTCAGATTGTGGCAACCGTACAACTTGTTTGTTGTCGAATCAACCGCCAAAAGTGGCAACTGAAAACTCTCTAATCTTGGCACAGGGGCCTTCTAATCGGGCTGGCACAGGGGCCCCAGCTCAATTTTGTGCAGGTACACAGGACTGATCAGGTCCCGCTTCCCACTTGCATCCACAGCTTCGTTGAGTGTGGTAGGACGCAAGTGCCACACTCCCCTGCAACAGTTGATTTGGTAAATGTCCAATGTCTGATTAAGTTGAAAAGCAAAAATTGCAAACAGTGTAGGAGTGACCCTCTGCTCCCATGTGCTAGGGAGGTTCACACACACACAGCCCCAATGGGGCGTACATGCTTCAAGTAGAGTGAAAGGTCTGATGCGTGGCAAAAGGAGTGAATGGCGCACTTTTCTCGCTGTCACTAGCGATCGGGTGATTGTCGTATTTCCTGATCCGAACAGGTTCTAACAAAAAGCACCGGCTTCAACGTGGCTAATGTGGTGACTGAATCCCAATCATGTAGTCGTCGACGGTTTTGTTCGAAGAAGAAAGCTGGGATTTTAGGAGTTCTGCCGGTGATCTCCTTGATGCGGTAGGAGAAGATCTTGCGAGCTTGTAGAACGTTGTCACCCAGACAAAGCACCACGTGTAAGAACATGTGCTTGTCTCTGGTGATGCGGTCGGGTGGAATTTCAACAGTCATCCGAAAACATTGTCCTGCCATGGAGTACCATGGAAGGCCGGCCTCGGCAGCCTTTCGCTTTGTCATATTTTTGCTGCTACCAACCGACAAACGCTTGAACAAGGAATGCAAATCAACATGGACATGCTGTGTGCTCAGGAGAAACAACAAAGTGGTGTCGTGCTGACACTCGCATGCGCAGGCTTTTTGTCACGCTTAGCGGATCTTGCAGCCCTAATCCGTCCTGAGTATTAGGATCCAACAGCGAGTTTGTTGGGACAGTCACTCATGATCTTGAAATGGCATCTACATCTAAAACCTGCACGTACCAGCATTTTTGCACAAGCGGTTTTGGACCGCTTGTGCTGAATAGTAGGATGCACAATATCGTAAGGTGCAATCGAGTCAGAAGACCAAGGATCTCGCGATGGAGATCGGTGTGCGTCCTCAGCCATGTGTGACGTTGCCGTAGGTGACGCTGATGATGTTGAATGCGAAGAGCGTGTCCTCTTTCGTCTTGTAGTATGTGGATGTTGGCGTCGTTGCTGTGTTGTGGATTGGGATGCTGGTGAGATGTTGCGTGTTTTCTTTGTTTTCATGACTGTTTTGTCCTTTTTGTCTTTGTTGTCTTTCTTCTTTTTTGTCTTCGTTGTGTGCTTTGTTTTTTGCTTGTGTGTGTGACTGACTGCATGGGAGGATGTGGTGGTGTCATCCTTCCTCAGGAAGGCATCAATCTCTTCGGATCCCCATAGGCTGCTGTCGTCGTCCTCGTCCATCTGTGTGCGATCCTAAATATGTTTCAACAACTGTAGTTCTGAGAAATGGCTGCGGAGTCACAACTGCATTGAGGCATGTGCATACGCTGATCTTCAGAAGAGAGAGAGAGATGTACACAGAGACATCAATTGAGCAACCTCGCCGACCGGCATGACCTTTCAACATGATGCTCTTAATGTTGAACCTCATCAGGGATGATGGAGTTCGCAGCACAGCTTTGCTGTGTGGTTGTTGGCTGCCAGGGGCAGCAAATGTGCATCTAATTGTCAACTCAGCAATGTTGCTCACGGAGTTCTTGACCGCTTTCGCTTGTTGGATGTAGGAGTTGATGTAGTAGATACTGTCTCCTTTTGGGTCGGAGGCGTTGATGTCGGACGCTGATCAGGTTGCTCCGCATGCTTTCGTATCCACTCTTGAGATGCGATAAAGTACTCCCGCCACCATGAAGAGCCGTTAGTGGCCCAATGCCATCTCCATTGTGATGCCGTGGGAGATCGCGATCTGGTGCGTTGTTCCATGGTGCTAACACAACTGGTTGTTTTGCAAAATGCTGCGGGAAAGAGTGCATCAATCGCTGCATGCCAAACATATGTGAAGTGAGTGCACTGACTGTCACAATTGGCAACAACGACAATCGTTGTTTTTACCGTCCTCTGCAAAGCACCCGATGGTGGTATGAACATGGTTGATCACCTATTGTTGCGAAGCTTCGAGTCTTTCCACTCGTTGCTTTAGCTCTGTGATCTGCCGGGTTGTTTGCAGAATAAACTCAGCTAATTGGTCGCGTAGAGCCTCGTCACTGAATGTGGAAGGTTCACTTCCAGTTTCGGAATCATAGTCCCGATGCTGTGTCAAAATCTCCATGAGGGCCGCGGAGAGAGCTTCACGTCGTGACTCATCGACGGGTGGCGAATCTGTAGTCACTGTGTTGGTCGGAAGAGATGCTTCGCTCATGGCTCGATGTCGGGATTCCGATAGGTGTCACTCTGAGGCAAAACTTCAGAAGGCAAAGTTATGGTGTGTGTCTGAAAGCAACATGTGTTGAAATGCGAGAAATGTGCACTACCTGGCTCTTTTTATACCAGCGTACCTTATCAGCATATTCACGACCAATCAGGCGCGTTTTGCCTGATGAGGCTTTCGAGTACGTCGAGCTGCTGTTTGCACGAGGCGAGGATCGCCGTGGTAGCCTCGTGTTGAGTAGTCAACACCGTTGTAGCCTGTTGTATCAGGCGCTCGAGTTTGGCATTCGATTCAAGCAACGAATTGTGAAACTGCGTTATTGCTGCCATAATCTCAGTCGATGAATCCGGATCAGGGTGATGCGGAGGTGGAAATGGCGGGGTCGCCGGTGCAGCCACTGCTGCGTCCTGCTGTTCTTCCGGATCTTGGTGTTGCTCTTGGTAATCTTGGAAATCTTCGTCTTCTGCAACACGTAGGAACTGAGAGCGCAAAAGCGCCGGCTGTGGATTGTGGCTGCCAACCGCAGGTTGCTCGTTGCGGCGTCTGCTATGCTTGGAGATGGATGGCCGAGGACGGCCGCTCAGCGCTTTGTGGCTCGGCTGCAATCTGCCAGTCATGGCACTTTTATACATGATGATGCCTCAGTTAACCCTGTAAATGGCTGCGGGAAGCACTGTGTTGATACAAGGCGGCTCTCATGTTGCGAAGTTGCATGACTCTGGACACACGCACGGCAACTTGGCACAGTGTTTTGCTTACAGCTGTTGATCAGTATAGCCGGCAGCGATGTAGAGATCGCGCATGGCTCGAATGGCTGATGTGGCCTCGCTGCATGGTGTTGTCACTCTGCGTACCATGCGTGTGCGGGCCTGAAAACTGCTGCGAAGTATTGCAACAGAGGTGGCTGACTGTGGGTGTAAAATATCCGCCTTGTGCAAAGTGCATTGATGCGTAAGGCTGCTGTGCTGAGGGTTTATGGCGAAACCCAGGAAAATGTTGGCCGGTTCAGTTTCAAGCTGAACCGGTGGCTTGTAGAAAGATGCGTCAGTAAGCTGTGCAAAAGGAGGCAGTCGGGTCAGCTGTGCAGGTAAAAGAAGGACGCGGTTGTCGACGTATCTGGTAGCAAAAAAGACAGCTTGATCCTGCTTGTTGTGGTCTGGAAAATGCTTGTGGTTCTTGAAAAGTTGTTTGTATGTGTGGTGCCAACACTGTTCTTCGACGGCAACCACGATGTTGCATAGGGCCGGGCTGCAGGGCGAGCCCATAGGTGCACCGCGAAATTGCTCAATAAGTGATGTACCAACAGTGAAATAGTTGAGTCGGAGCACTGCAATGATGAGTTGTGGTATATGTTGTAATTGTATGCAAAGTTTGTTGCCGGAAGAGGCTTCTTGCTTCTTTTGTCTGCTTTTGCCCCTGTGGACTCGATGTGTGGGGTCTTTCTGTGAGTGGTCAATGAAGAATTTGGAAGAGTGTAGTGGGTTCTTCTCTCTGTACCATCGAACCATAATGCTGTACGCTGAAAGAAACCGGCTCTGATCGACCGATGTAAAGAAGCCAGCCAAATCCTGGTTGTACAGGATGTAATCTGTTGAATCGTGTAATTTCCTGCGCTGATGCAGGAAGAGTGCTGTTTGTTTGAGCTGTGTTATCCCGTCTCCTTGGTGAAAGGAGTTTGGACATGCTTGAAAAGTCATCAGCTGCAGTACGTCTGCTAAGGCTTCCCACAATTTTCTGCCCATGGTGTCGATGAACGCCACTATAGGGCGGCCTTTTGTGAATTGCTTCTTTCTTTTCGGTAAAATGTAGGCGCGTGGGATGCGTCCCCATTGTGGAAAAGCCCATATGTAAGCTGGTAGAAGACTGCGGACGTCTGTGTAGACATCAAAGTGGTGTTGTAGAGGTTGGTGCTGCGAGATCCGAAAGATCTCCTTGTCTAAAAAAGTGTTGTGTATGGCACTGTGATATAGTGCTGGGCAGTACCACGTG